GAAACAGGTTGGACACGCGAAAAAGGGACACGCGACCAGAGACTGTGCCAACCTGCCCGGCCCTACCTACTTATAATTAAAACACAGGCACACCAGAAGTAAGCTACCTATCCTATTCAGGGACCCTATATTTAAAAAATGACAAAAAAAAACAGGCACACCAACACACTCATTCCACGGTTCTCACACATACCACTCGGGCGCAGACCTAAACTAGAGAGGACGTCCCGGGACGCCTCCGACACCCGAGCTTAACAAACAACATTCACACTCTATTTTACGTACCATTTTCCTGAAATCGACTGACGAAGGCTAGCGACCATTGCGTAAAATGTGATAACAATATATGTAATGTATTATTATTTGAATAAAATATTTATATATTTTTATTTCTATTTCAATTTAAATATTCATCATCATACATATAAATTGTACAAATATTCATAATATTTGAAATAAGTAATAAGAAATTGAGAATTATTACATATTGCTTGGACTAATAGTAAAAACGACGCAATTCCACATCCTAACCACATACGCACATGCGAAAAATGCGTCGTGCACGATACACTAACCAATCGTCAGTCGCTAAGAAATTATTAAACTTATAAACTATGGTCATCATACCCATTGCCTTTCTCCCACCCAAGTAACACCTGGGTACGTGAATGAGATCTTGGCAATGAATATGGAAAGGGTTAAACCTGAAAATCCTGAGCTAAAAAGAGGATTAATATACTTATTTTATGTCAATTCTATAACGGATTAAGGAAACTATATTCTTTTATTTTATTTCAATTTTCAATAACTCTTATTATTATACTTTATAATTTACTTTAAAAATTTAATAAATTACTGAAATGCTATGCTTGAATAAAAATCAGCAATATTTATTGAAAAAGAAACAAAGATTCAATGGACACAATATCATATTTAATGGACTCTAAGTACAATATTCATAGAAATATCCTCAGGCGATCTCTTTATCAAAGCTCATTTGAAAAATAAAAGAAACATTCAAAACTACTGCTTTGATTTTGAAATCTACCTGTCGCGAAATGTCTTCTTGCACATAAAATTTGATACATTTTTAGACGAATAAAATTGAGTTTAAATTGAATTTAAATTATATTGAATTTAGAAAATTTGAAATACGAAATAAATATTATTCATAATTGTGTAATTATCATTATTAGTAATGTACTAATTCCAATTAAAATTGCCAAGTTAGCAACGAAGTCGGATGGTATCCGTCTTCTCCACTACAAATTACTCAAATATAATCATTGTAACATTCATCATTTAATTGAATATTAATATTTTATTTATTGTGTGTTTATCTTTGCAAATAATTATATCGAATATATTTTAATTATATAAATGAATATCCTCCGTAATTTTCAATCACAGATATTATATATGTCAACATTATTATTCTTATAAATTCTTGCAATATTGTAATATTACGTTAATATTACATTCATATTAATTATTATTATTATACTGTTAATAAACAATAAAAAACGCGATGTGCAAGAAAACCTATCCTGAACTAATAAATAAAATATAAGCAAAAAATGTTACTACTCACAGCTATAATAAATAGCTATGGTCACTATGCCCGTCAAAAATTCTATGTAATACAACCAATCACTCGTGTCGATTCGGACCTTTCATCCTACGACATGATTGAGTGACTAGAGGAACAGAAAAGCATGCGACTCACGATTAGATGCGAAGAATGTTGTCATGACATTGGTCTAACAAGAAGAGTGGTCTAAAAAGAGTTATCGTGAAGCTCATTAGTCAGCAGGAATCGCCGAATGAAAGAAATGAAAACTGAAAAAAATCTGTAACAGAACGTAACATATTATGATCTATTCTATTTTTAAATATAATTTTAATTAATTGTAAAGTTTGAAATAATGAAAAATAGATTTTTACTAAACGTAAAATTTTAATAGTAATGCTTAGTTCAAAAATCAAAAACTTAAATTTGACAAATTCTATTTTTTATTTAATAACAATTTATGTAAAATAAATGACAGAATTAAAATATAATTAATAATAAATAATTGAAATATAAAATATAAATAATTACTTACACTCTTGGCTTTTAATGCACCATTACATCCTTCCCAGGGAACGAAGGGTGGAGTAAAAACCTTCCGTAAAAGGAAGGAGTAAAAACCTTTAACAGAATACAAATTATTACTACTTATGTTGAAATACAATGATGATTGTTCAAAAAATTTTAGACAACGAAATTTGATATTTTAATAATAAAAAAAATTGACACCAGATTTTATTTTTTAATTAATAATGAAGCAAAATATAAGAAATAAAATTAATTGAAATATAATATATAAAGATTCTTACATGCTTAGTTTTGAAGCACTAGTATCTCCTTCCAAAGAACAGGAAAAAATGGTAGTGAAAAATCTGTAATAAATCGTGTGATATTAGAATATATTATTAAGAATGTGCAAAAACTAAAATATATTGGAACATAATATATAAAGATATTTACATTCTTGTGCTCCAGGAGAGGCTGTGTCCTCTTGCGAGACCTGCAATTCTACTACCGAAAGCGAATATTAAAAAAAAAAAAAGAAAATAAAAGACTACAACATGTCCGTTTATAACAATCGGCGAACTCACTGACTCTAATTTCGCGTATTAAATTATATTCTAATTAAATTTAATGAGAGCTATTGTGCTCTAAGAAATATTGATAATTACATGACGGAATAAACACTGACTCTACCAACCGCATTGCACACGGTCACAAAAATTCTCTGAAAGAAAAATTTTATTATAGGAAAAGGGATAAATAAAGTGTTTGCTTAGGAAAATACTGCTTTTCCAAAATTATTAACCAATCGTTATTTATTTATTACAGATGAAGAATTACCATATTGAAATTATGAAATATTTAATTAATACATTTAAAATATTATTACACACTGTAAGATATTTCATGATATTGTCAAATATTTATGAATATTTCATAATACAAATAATTTAATACTAAAAATTACACTTTGAATGTCCGTTAGAGATCAAATATACTATATTTAACTTGTCCGCCATATTTGATTTGTTTGAAACATTTGATTTCAAACAAATCAAATATGGCGCACTTTTATTGTCTGCGCAGTATTCAAACAACGCAATGCGCAGAACACATTCAAACCGTTAACGTTCCTTTTCAAAAATTATTTGTCAAGAATGTATATGAATTGAATATCAAATATAAATGTTACCAATTACAACCAACAAGAATATAAACGTGTAGATACGTCTATTTTTATTAAAATAAGTCAAATGTTACCGTAATTGCACAAAAGAAGCCAGATTTATCGTTAATCGTGGCGTCCACTATTTCAAAGTTTCTTCCGCAATCAACCAGTAATCTGTACAAAAAAGAAACCAAAACCTTCAAATAAATGTATGAAAGAAACGAATTATACAAGAATGAAACAATGATCAAGATTAATGATTCTTTTGGAAATTCATAATAAGCTTTACATGTGAGTGCCAGTAAATGTGACAACTAAAAAAATCATAATATACAACAAAATTATTAAATATAAACGTACATTAATTAAACGGAATGTGAATACAAAGAATGAAAATGACGATGATAGGTATTACGCAATTAATATAAACACAAGCAATAATAGAACTTCACACCACAACGTTCGACACTTAACTAACCCCCTCGCGCAACAGGTTCGCGCCGCAAATTTGTTAGGGTGGGGGTTCGAGCATTGATTTATGTTTTTAAAAATGAGCATATCATATGCTTGTGCATCAATGCCTAGAGATATTATTGACACTATGAATATATTATGTGTATTACATCAATCATTTTAAATTTTATGAAAATTTTGCGTCTCATTACAATGCGAATGCAAAATAACATAATATAATACGTATATAAATGTTTTCTATGATAAACGATCAAATATTTACGTAAGTTATACCGTGTTCATGGAATACATGTATTCATTTCTAATTAACATCGGTAATTAAATTGAAAATATATATGTAAAAATTTCTTTAAATCTATTACATCTAAATACATAAATCGTAAAAAAACAAAGTAAGAGTATTGTTTTTTACCTCTTTGCTTCTCTTTGCTGTGCTCCCGTCAGAAACTAATACTTTTACGTTACATTCGATCACACAGATAGATTATAGATCGATTGCGAGAAATATCGGTTACATTCGAGAATCGCAATAACTAATTACGTATTTCCACCGTTTCAGTGGCGCTGTAATCTCGTATGAAAATATATTAAATTTAAAACAAAAATAAAAACTTTTTTTAATTCTCTTTATCTACTTTTGGATATAATTCTTATCTTCACCACAGCAAATTAAAAAACACGCTGATTTTTTCGAGATCAATATTTCAGGAAGTTCCATATGATGTTACATCTATTTTACTTTAGTCAATGGTTGTATCACACGACGCAGAATATCTTTTTCCTGATGTTCATAATTGAAATAAATAATATTCTTTTTTCTCAAAATGTAGTGTGTAGTGTATTTCTCCACACTTCTCTGATTTACATCTTTTATGATCTTACTTATTTCAATTTGTTATAATTTTAATGTAGGAACAATTGCATATCTTAAAATTATAACAAGCAGTGGATTAAAAAGTATACATAGGATAATACAATATAAATAATGTTTATTAAAGTATAGTTTTTGTCTTTTCTATTGATACAATACAATCTTCCATTGATTCTTGATTCTTCAAGATGTTTGTCTTATTTTCACATTGATTAGACATTAATGTATAATTAATTCTAAAATACTTTATGAAAGACACATAAATTTGCCGAGAAATGCAATAATAACAAATGTAACATAATGTTAGGAGTAATAACCCTGTTCCAGAAATGATGACCCTGTCAATATAGTCTTTTATCAGTAAAATATTATTTAATATGTAGTATTATATTAAAGGAACATTAAACTTACGTTAAAAGCAGAGAATTAAAATCAGATTCATTACAGCAAACATTATCACCGCAACAATATTGCTGTGGATCACACAGACCCCAAATGCAATAATGTGGTGAACTCTGAAACATTATAAAAGATATTTTATAATATTTTCATATAATTTAACATTTACACATTAAAAACTACCTTTAAAACGCCAAATTATTATTTTAGTTTTCAATAAAACATATAATAAATATAAAAGCTTAATATTACCATTGGAGGAAGTAAACGTTAAAAAATTATTGGAACAGCTTATATTTACATAATGAACTAGTCTGTCAAAACATGAACATAGACTATAAAATATTAGATGTACTATCCATAGGAAAATTAAAGGCTGTCTCCAATTAACGTAATACGACCTAACGATTTTTGTATGAACGAAAAAATCCAACAGCCAAAGGAAACGTATATACATTTAGGAAAGCATACATGTGTTCATTAAGTATACTCGACATTCGTGATCATTCGAAATAATCTTCCAATTATACTATTCCATAATATTAAAGATTACTTTAAACATTTCACGTACAACAATTGTACAAAAATGACAATGACTCCAGCTACAAAGCAAAAAATTGCAATTATTTTAAATGTGAGCAAAACTGTATTTCATTGGGGATTTATTCCTGCTATATTATTTTTAGGTTAGTTCTTCTCTCACTTAATAATCTCAAATTATTAGTTATATCAAATTATAATTTGATAAAAGTGAATTTATAGTTTTTTAATAAATCTAATTTGTGTCAAGTACATAAATCACTGACAAATTAACTATTTTAGGATTTAGAAAAGGTGCTGATCCGGGCATGCCTCAATTATCACTTATAAAGTAAGTTTCTATAAATTATATATGAATTATAATATAAATTTTAATAACAATTAAACATGGATAATTTTGTATTTCAGCTTATTATGGCAATAAAACTAGCTACTTCATTCTTCATGAAGATATTTCCATTGCTTAACTATATTTCCCAATTATATTTCTTTATTTCCATTAAATTCAATGTATATTTATTTATGTACTAATTGTTACAGCTAAAATTATTAATAGGAAAATGCTTTGATGTTGAGTTGATCAAAATAAAAATTTGAATTACAATGTTTTACCTACTGTAACGAAAAATAAAAAAAAGGACAGGATTATATACAGAAGCATCTTTTGTTATATATAGATTTGCTGTTCTCTATAGCATTTAACTTTAATTTAATGTACAAAAGTATTCTTATTTTATGTAAACTATATTTTTAGTCCATTTTATTTATATGCTAATGACTAAAAGTTACTTAATTAAAATTTTAATGAAATCTAAAACAAGTTTTAAAAGGTATTTGTTTCTAAATTGGAAACACATGCTTTTTGAAAAGTTTATACGTTAAATAAATATTTTAAATATTTTCGTTATTATTTTAAATTGTATTCTTTATATTCTTATTTAATCCATTTAAAAATGTACTTAAGTAGTAATAAAGATGAAACTTATAAATGTAAATGTTAATAATTAACGTAAATTAAATTAGAAAGTACAATTAACAATTGTTAAGATTTTTATAGACTGATTTTTCGTAATCAATATATCCACATTTTAAAATAAAAAATACTATCGCTCATTATAATTATCGAAAATGTCTTTATTTCGTATAATATTTTTAGTTTTGAATTAGGAAACGTACATTCCTAAGATATTAAGAACAACAGATGAAATGAATTTGATCAAAATTGAAAGAGCAAAAGTAAGTCTGATTGCGAAAGAAATAAATCTTAAATGTCGGAGATATATTGTTTCGTTGGTAACAGTGACACCTAACCTGTCAGAGGTAAAGTAGCAGATTGGAACTGTAGTCAGTTTTAGGCACATAGATACAACATTTTAGATTCGCGGTTTTACTGTGCTCGTCATCGTGTAGAGCACAGAAGTAACAAGCGGATATAGTGTAAATTTCTCGTTGATGCGTATGTAGAACAAAGTATTAGTGATCGTTAAAGGTAGCCACCACGTTTTTACGAGAACTCCCTTGTCTAACCCTGCCTGTTATGCGGTGGTGAACGTCGACAGGTGAGTGCGCGCTTTTTGTCTAACGATATTTCCCTCGTTCTATCAACGAAAAAAAAAAATTCTTTTCCGGCAACTGGACTGTGATGGTGTTATTTCTATCAATTGCTCTTTATGGATCTTTAATAGTGACGGATGGTAGTGTTATAGCACGAAGATTTGTGATGTTCTGAAGTTTCCTGACGAAAAATTCGAACTACTGCTAACGATGTGCATCCTGATGTAACTACATCGGTATGGATCTTCCGATTACCGACTAACTTTTCTTGTGTTTAAATATATTTTTTTCCCCCATAAATATCTTCATCCAATTGCATTTACGATCACTTTTCTTTGATTCTTCGTAAGCGCACAAAGATTTTACATAGTTTTATTTATAGTTTCACAAATGATTTCAACAGCTCCAATGTGTACATAAGCAAATAAATTGTGACATTGAGATTTTGGAATAACCAATCACTGATATTGTTAGATACAGTAATATATTTCAAAATTAATTTCATTGAACGTGTTGTTTCCTGTTTTAATTATTATTATCATTATCACTATCGTCATCGTCATCATCATCGTTATCATCATCATCATCATCATCATCATCATCATCATCATCATCATCATCATTATCATCACTTGTATCCTAAAAGCTATTCTAATAAAATCAGTACTCTATATTTGTGTGTATGAAAGTAAAGTTTTATTACTCATTATTTGATGTTCACACCTTCTTCATCATTTCCTCTTGTACAATTTATTCTGAACTACATAACAGATTCTTTTGTATTTTTTCTACAGAAATTATTGTAGACAGTAGTAACAGTGACGCTCACTCGACAAGCGTATAAAAATAGGATGTCAGGGCATAGAGGCGGAGGAGGAGCTGGGAGTCATCAAGGAGGCCCAGCAGGCCTTAAACAAATAGATTTAGATCAAATTTGGGGAGATCTTCGTGAGGGTATTGAACAAGTTTATAACAGGCAATGTATGTCTAAACCAAGATATATAGAGTTGTACACGTATCCTTTATAATTAAAAAATTAAACAACAAAAATAAAAAGAAAAGAAGTCAGAATAAAATAAACAAACAAATAATTGTCTATGTTCTATTAATTTCCTTATTATGTAACTTGTCAGACATGTATATAATTATTGCACAAGCGTTCATCAACAATTAACTAGAACATCGACCAAAAGTAAGAAAGGACAAATTTCTCAAGGAGGTGCACAGTTAGTTGGTTTGGAGTTATACAAACGTTTACGTGATTTTCTTAGAAATTACCTTATAAGTCTATTAAAGGTGATCTTTTTGTTTTGCTGATTATTATCCTTAATTAATTCAAATTTAAAATGGTTTGATATTTTAATTTGATACTTTTTTTTACATAGCATGGAATTGACTTGATGGATGAAGATGTATTACAGTTCTATACAAGACAATGGGAAGAATATCAGTTTAGTAGTAAAGTCTTGAATGGTGTATGCTCATATCTGAATCGACATTGGGTACGTAGAGAATGTGAAGAAGGTCGTAAAGGAATTTATGAAGTTTATCAATCAGCTTTGGTTACATGGCGAGATAACTTATTCAAGCATTTAAATAGACAAGTAAGTAATTTAGTGAACAAATGTATAAGAAAACAATTAAAAAGTCAGAATAAATAATATTACATATATATATATATAGGTTACTAATGCAGTACTTAAATTAATTGAAAGAGAACGCAATGGGGAAACAATAAATACACGTTTAGTCAGTGGTGTAATCAATTGTTATGTAGAATTAGGATTGAATGAGGAAGATCCTGGTGCTAAAGGACAAAATCTTACTGTTTACAAAGATTCTTTTGAAAACATCTTCCTTGAAGATACAGAAAGGTTTTACACTCGAGAAAGTTCAGAGTTCCTCAGACAAAATCCAGTTACAGAATATATGAAAAAGGTTTTGAAATCAGTTTTTGCTAAATTACTATATTTTTTGTAAGGATATTATTTATAAATTATTTTATTATTTTGTTACAGGCAGAACAAAGGTTATTGGAAGAACAAAAGCGAGTTCAGGTATATTTGCATCAAACAACCCATGACAGATTAGCAAAAACATGTGAAAGAGTGTTAATCGAAAAACATTTGGATATTTTTCATTCTGAATTCCAAAATCTCTTGGATGATGACAAAAACACAGATTTAGGTCGGATGTATCAGTTAGTGGCAAGAATTCCAAATGGTCTTGGAGAATTACGAAATCTTTTAGAAGGTCATATAGCTAACCAAGGACTTGGAGCTATCGATAAATGTGGTGATTCTGCAGCTAATGTAAGTTTGTTAATAACACAAAATAACTATAACCCGACTTTATGCAAAAATGTTTTCATAGGATCCAAAGGTTTATGTAAACACTATTTTGGAGGTTCATAAAAAATACAATGCTTTAGTACTTGTTGCATTTAATAATGACAGTGGTTTTGTGGCAGCTCTTGATAAGGCTTGTGGGAGATTCATTAATAGTAATTCGGTAACTAGAGCAGCAAATAGCAGCAGCAAATCACCGGAATTATTGGCAAAATATTGTGACTTATTGTTAAAGAAGAGTAGTAAAAATCCAGAAGAAGCTGAACTTGAAGATACATTAAATCAAGTTGTGAGTAAAAATGAAATGAACACAATACAAACAGATTTTTGTTTATCAGAAATATTATTCTCTTTTCAATCATAGATGGTGGTATTTAAATATATAGAGGACAAAGATGTATTTCAGAAATTCTATAGTAAAATGCTGGCAAAACGATTGGTACAACATATGTCTGCTAGTGATGATGCAGAAGCTTCTATGATTTCTAAATTAAAACAAGCTTGTGGTTTTGAATATACTTCGAAATTGCAACGAATGTTCCAGGTACTGTATTGTGCTATGATGTTCTTTTTTTGTTAATTTATATTAATTATATTTCACATGCTTTCCTTGAATTATTTTTGCAGATGATTATTTTTATATTATCTACTAATACTTGTCAAAATTATATAACATTATAATTGTAGCAGTCTGTTCACAGGATATTGGAGTCTCTAAAGATTTAAATGAACAATTTAGAAGGCATTTGACAAATTCTGCTGAACCGCTAGATATAGATTTTAATATACAAGTGCTGTCTTCTGGCTCTTGGCCATTTCAACAATCCTTTACATTTTCATTACCAACAGAGGTAAATAGAATTGAACAAATCACTTGAAGAATACTATGATTTAAACATTATGTTTGCATTACAGCTAGAGAGATCTGTACATAGATTCACCACTTTCTATAGTTCACAGCATAGTGGAAGAAAGTTGAATTGGTTGTACAATATGTCTAAAGGAGAATTACATACAAATTGTTTTAAAAACAGGTCATAAAATATTTAACAATAAAATTTTAATTCAAATAAATATTTTGTGTCAATTGTAAATGAAATTTCATTCTTTTACTGCAGATATACATTACAAGCATCTACTTTTCAAATGGCTGTATTGTTACAATATAATGGATCCACAATGTGGACAATACAGCAGTTACATGATGCCACTCAAATAAAAATGGATTTTTTAGTTCAGGTAACATCAATAGTAATAAAATATAAAATAAAATCTAGATAATATATTCAATGTTACAGGTTATTCAAATACTCTTAAAAGCCAAACTATTAACAGCAACTACTGATGACGAAACTGAATTGACACCACAGTCAACAGTTGAACTTTTTACAGGATATAAAAAGTAGGTTTATTTAATCGTATCTTACTTTATCAGAAATCATATTGGTGTGTTATTTTTATGTGTGTTATTTTTATGTGTGACAGTAAAAAGCTGAGGGTAAATATTAATATACCAATGAAAACGGAATTGAAGATTGAACAAGAAACAACTCAAAAAAATATAGAAGAAGATAGAAAGCTCTTAATTCAGGCAGCTATTGTTAGGATTATGAAAATGAGAAAAGTACTAAAACATCAGCAATTGGTAGCTGAAGTATTGAATCAATTAAGCTCTAGGTTCAAACCGAGAGTACATGTTATTAAGGTACGTATTAACTTCACTATTTTTTAAGACGTTCTCAAATTTGTTATGTGTATTTTTTCTTATATTAATTTATCATAACATGATATCGATGAATAAAAATATTGAAAATGAAATTGGATAAAAACAATATAATTTTAATATAAAATGGTTCTGCTTTTTCAGAAATGTATAGATATTTTAATTGAGAAAGAATATCTGGAGCGCACAGAGGGTCAAAAGGACACTTATAGCTACCTGGCATGATCAAGTTGATCTATGACAACGATACAGCAGCAACCATACACACGAACGAAAGATGACTGTCGAATGCTAGATATTGTCACAATATTTATTTAAGTCTCGAATTGCTAAATATTGTCACAATATTTATTTAAGTCTCAAATTTGAATCTCATACATTCTCCTTGTACATGGATGTCCTTGTACCATGTTGTCCCTCTGGTCGCATTTAGAGTCTGGTTTTTATAATATGTTAATAAAATCATTTCATAGTCAAGCTGCTAGATGTATTACTATCTATGCTGCTTTTGACATAAATTCAAGTATTACTGGTTTTGATACGATATCGTGTTGTGAAACAAAAAATGCACGAATCTAACTTTTACATTCACAACATTATAAAAAAACAGTAAACAACTGTTTTCATAATTATGGACTCGTAAAAAATAAATCAAAAAAGAAAAAAAAATGAAAAAATTTAGAATTAAGCATGGTAAGAGCGAAACAAATAAAATACTTTTGAATAAAATAATGTTTCAGGACATACATTATAAAATATGTATTAACAAATGTGGTTGGACATGCATTATTTCTTTTTACAATTATTATTTTTTTTTTTGTTTTTCTTCGAATAATATAAAATGCGTTATTTATGTATAATTTTTATGAAGTTCGAAAGTAAAAGAGAAATGTAATTGAAAAAAAATTAATTATCTATGTTATACGAATCTCAAATTTAAATATAAAAATAGTAATGCATTTTAATGCAACGGTTAAGAAGTTTAACTAACAATTACTTGTATGACGAAAAAAAGTTTTATACCAGTGAATAAAAAATCTACCCTAATATGAAAGTTGATCTATGTTTTCGTAAGCAGTATACTCACATTTATGTAAATTTTTATTAAGATTCATGAAATTTGAAGACTTGTATAATTACATTCACAGCTACTTTAGTAAATTATAAAATGATGTCTTATATGAAGATTTTCAAAAGAAATGTACATTGTGTTCATATATTATACATATAAAAAAATATTTTCCTTTCATTTTTTCATAATTGGTTATATAGCACGAATATTTTATTAAACATTATTCTCTAGAACTAAAATTGGATGTTCAAAGTGCAATATAAAATAATGCGGAAATCTGTGGTGTAATATGATTTTAAATATAAATTTAAGCGATTTCAATATGAAAATTGTTAATGTATCAATGATTTTAATTTTAATAAGAATAGTAAATTTCGATGTACACATATATGTGAAGCTGAATTGTAAAACGCAATGTGTAAGAGGGTTAAAAGATAAGAATTTTAAACGAAACGTTATCGTAATTATAAAAAGAAGAGGGACATCAAAAAGGGGAGAAGAGAGAGTTATAATAAAGCATTTGAGAATAGCATCTTCGCATTAAGAGAAAGAGAGCAAGAGAGAGTGAGAGAACGAGTGAAAGAGAGAAAAAGAGAAAGAAAACAATTAATTTAATATATTTTATTAAACAAAACATACTAAGGATCTAAATAGTGAAACACTAAAACATTATTCAAATTAGATTATGTAGAAATGGTTAAACGGAAAATAAAAGTACATATATCATCTTCGTTCACTTTTTTGTCACACTTGACATTATTTAACTAATTTCAAGTGATAGTATTTAGAAGACATCAAGCTTTTTATAAGTGTAGGAAATATACGACAACACATATATTGTTTAAGTAAGGATACAAAATAAAAATCTGTAAAAATCATTTGATAAAAAATAATTAGTGTTTTTTGGAACGTTTGAACATTAAACTTTAAAGTGAATGCAATTAATTTCGTTAATTTTTATATTATGTACTAACCGAGATTCATCATTCTCAATCAAATTTTTTATGCACAAAATAAGGCTTGAATGTAAATAAATTGAATGAGTTGAAAATTATTTTGAATAAAATTAATTCAGTTTTTACATCTTTGTAATGATTATATTACATTACGTTTTGAAAATGTAAAACGAAAATATTGATACACAATTTTTTTGTAAAAACATGATTTTAATAGTTCATTTCCATTGATATTTTAAATACAAATTATTTATTATTTATATTATTACATATACTGAGAATGAAAACAACAAAAAGAAAGACATTGAAATAAATCATAAAGCTTAGATTGCTAAATTTTCAAATTTCATAATATATGACAGGTAATATATTAAAGAACACAGATTTACATAAAAAATATTAAGAATTATATCATGTAATATAAAATTGTATAATATTCATGGCTATGAAATTATTCCATTTTTTGCAATGTATGAATTGCAGTAATCATTTAATAAATGTTTTATATGCAATATATCATAAATTTTCAGGTTTTTGATCCAGCAATCTTGAAAAATCTTCTTTTGTTAATTTTAGTTGTCCAACTGCCAGTAAGCATGCCTTGTATGTGTGTATTTATATATATTACATACATACATATATAATATGTGTGTATATATATATATATAGATTATAACAGATAGATTAAAAATAAATATATATCAAATGTTTTAATATTTTGTATATACAATTTTATATAAAAGAAAAAAAATATATACATACATTTTGCTTCTTTAAGTTATGAACAATTAACATTTGTTTTTTAAACACTTGTATTAATTCTGAAAGTTGCTTTCCCAAATGAGTAACTGTTAATTTTTTATCTTCTTGTAGTTTCCTAATTTGAGTCTTCAGTTCCTGCGAAAATATCAAGTAGATAAAAATATAAAATAATACAAGTTTTTCATTCACTACATAAAATTTTAATTATTTTATATAAACTGCACCTTTTCCTCTACTTCAGAATACTTTAGTGCACTTTTAAGTTTATCATTATTTTCCAAAGATCTATTTAATTTCATAATACAATTATTGGACTGTTGATTTGTTATCTTTATCTGCTTTTGAAGTTTATCTAAATCCTGTTAAAAATATTTTGTTATTATATATGAATAAAAAAATAATTGTTGAGACAGTAAAGGAAAGGAAAAAAAATATGCATACTTTCTTCAAAATTGAATTTTCTGTATTTAATGTTTGTGATTGATATTGCAATTCCTTGTTACTGTTTTCTAATTTTGCAATAGTTTCTCTTAATGATTCTATTTCAGTCTTTAACTTAATTTCAACTTTCTTATTTTCAGATTCCAAATTCTTGCAAATATCACACTAAATAAATAATGTAGTTATGTAAAAATTAATCAAATAAATACTTTCATACATACATGAATTTTTGGTACCTGTTTTTTATATTCAACTCGCATGGTTTGTAGCTCATTGTGTAATATATCTACTTTACCTTTTAAAAAATTAAAAACAGTCTGGTTTGCCAGTTTTTTTTGTTTAGAAACTTCATCTTCACTATGTTTTTGTGGTTCTACTTTTCTAACATATAAGTAATGTTAAAATCATACATTCCGATTATTGTAAAATATAATACAATAGTCCAGAAATAAAATACATTTGCTATAATTTTTTAATATGTACATCGAAATATACTTATTAAAAATAAATAATTACACTTTTTCCTTACTTACGATTTCAAAGTAGAGGAGTGATCGAAAATATGTGGTAAAGATGAATTTCGTTTAATCGGAACCTGAAAATCATCTTCATTTTGCATTTCTATACTATTTAAATAGGCTGTTTTTTCTTTCGTCACATTTATATAATGTTTCCTCGAATTATTTAGATATCCATTGTTATAAGTATTAACAACAGAATCTATTTTTGTTATTAAATTATTTGCTTTTTGCTCAAGTTCTTTATTTAATCGATGAAATCCTTTTTCTTTAAATAATAAATCTTCAGTCATCTTTCGATATGATTACATAAAAAATATTCTGTTTTATTACTCTATATACTTTTATTGCTATAAAAATATTTGTTTTATATCTCTATATACTTTTATTGCTATATTCTGTACAATAACTTATGCATTTATTCGATCAAACATGTTTTGTATTTGTTTCCAACTCCTCCCTCCCTTTCCTGGTCGAGTTGCTGTATATATATAATACACAAGAAGCGGTAGTTTTTCGTTTTCAAACATATGATAGTTTTTCAAAGTTAAATGATATAAAAACATATTGGAAGTATTGATATTACATGTACATTTAAAAATTTATAATAAACAAAAATGACAGCACGTGCAATTTTACAAGGTACAATGTTTAAAATACTTTAAATATTTTTAATAAAAATTCCGCGGTCTTTCATAATACGATTGATATATATATTTATTAAGTTCTTTATTTTAGTAAATGAATAATTTTTTATGGTAATTAGTATGCCAAGCAATGCTAATATTAATAATTATCTTTATAGTCTTTGATCAGTACCAAAAGGCTCGTCTATTCTTTGTTCAATCCATTGCTGATTTTTCTTCAAAAACAAATACTATAGAATGTTTAGAAGCTGCTGGAGTTTTGGATCTCATAAACCCTTTACTAACAGATCCGATACCTTCTATTCAACATACTGCTGCAATTGCATTAGGAAAAATTACAAATAATAGTCATAGATTGGCACAAGCTGTTGTAAGAATGGATATTTTACCTCAATTATTGAAGAATATTACTAAACAAAATGTATGAATGTAAGCATTTTAGCTATAGAAAACTGTATTTTTTTTTTTTTTAAGAAATTTTTATATTATAAAATATAATAAATAAATAATAAAGACATATTGAAATATATTTGTTATAGAAATTTTATAAAAAAGCAGCCCTATTTGTTTTACGTGCAATTGCTAGACATTCCCCAGAATTAGCATCTATGGTGATTCAAAGCAATGGATTGGATACTATAATAATTTGTTTAGAAGATTTTGATTTTGGCGTTAAGGAAGCTGCTGCTTGGGCATTGGGATATATCGCTAGACATAACAAGGCTTTAACTCAAGCCATAGTTGATGCAGGTACTTCATTCTATCAATGATCTGTGTTTTAGTAGATTGTACATCAATTATATTATTTATAGGAGCTGTTCCACTTTTGGTTTTGGCCTTGCAAGAACCTGAATTATGTCTAAAACAAATTAGTGCATCTGCTTTATTTGATATAAGCAAACATAATACTGAACTTGCAGAAATTGTTGTTGATGCAGGAGCCATTCCTTTTCTTGCAAAGGCATTATCTAATCCTGATACTAAATTAAAGGTGACATGACGCACTATATAGTATGATTTTATAGTATAATATTTTGCTTATTAATAATGTACGCAGCGTCAAGTTCTTTTGGCATTAAGCAGTATAGCAAAACACTCTGTACACCTAGCAGAATCTATCATTGAAGCTGAGATTTTTCCTGATGTTCTTGTACACATGGCACATCCTGATGAATGTATTGTTAAAGCTGCTGCAATGTTAACCAGAGAAATTTGTAAACATACATTAGAGGTAATAAAATCAAACTTTAATTTATTTTCAATATGTTACATTATACAGTTATAATTACATTTTTCTCAGATGGCCCAACTTATTGTGAATATTGGTGGTATTGGTGCACTTGTTGAATTAATTAGTATCTCAAAATTGACAGTCAAATTACCAGCAATAATGGCAATTGGATATATTGCTGGACACTTAGATCAGTTAGCTATTGCAGTTATAGGATCTAAAGTATGACATTTCAATATACTTTTTACAATACTTCTACAATAAAAACCGTTGAGAGCGAATATTTTTTTATAGGGAGTTGTGCACCTATCTACTATATTACTTGAAGAAACTGATGATCATACACTTGCTATTACTGTATGGGCAATTGGACAAATTGGAAAGCATACATCAGAACATGCAAAAGCAGTTGCAGTTGCAAATATTCTACCAAAATTATTACAGGTATATTACAGACTTGTTTTTTTTAATTGCTACTATGTTGTTGTTTATTGTTCATCATTATTATTTTATAGTTTATTTTTAGCTTTACAATAATCCAAATAGTTCAGAAGATCTTAAAGCAAAATGTAACACAGCACTGAAACAGATATTACAAAAATGCATGTATATTGAAGCTTTAGAATCTTTATTGCATGATTCACCACCTAATATTCTAAAATATGTACTTGGGCAATTCAGTAAGGTAAGGAACACAATTAGTATTTTATGTTACATGTAACTCTTTACTTTTTTTGTACATAATCTCTATAAATTCTACACAAGATGTACAAATTGAAACATAACAGTACAATAATTGAAGTAGTATTTTTATTTATAATTTTTAATTAAAACAAAACATTTTATAATTTATCATATCTATACAATGAGATAAATTATATAAATCACATATGATAAAATTTACCTAAATGATAGAGTTTATTATTACATAAATTTATTATTTAATAATAATTTTATCTCTTTTATTTCATCACATAATAAACATACATATGTATCATATACACATGGACCATTATCAAGTTATTTGAAGTTGCTTTACTGAAAAATTAGTCAAGCAATTGTAATGGTTTATTCTTATCACATACTAACTATTATCCCATAAATAGCACTTTAACAATTAAAATCGCCATTTTATGACATTGTCTTGATACAATGTAATTTTATACTTTAACTCCTTCAAAATTATATAAGATATAACTTGACTTTGATCTCTTAACATGGTATGAAATGTCACATACTTGTATTTAAAACAGTTCCGATATGCTATATCATTGCATTTGTCCGATATTTGATTGGTAGAAAGTGAAGAAATTGACAATGGCATGATTTTAACTATTTTTATTTTTAATGCTTGTCTATAAATATTATGGCACGTACTATATCCTGAAAAGCACATTTCTCAGTCTTACGACAATAAATGGTTCGGCTAAAATACAAGAACGATTGAATTGTTAAGTGCTTATATAAAAATTTTAATTGCAATTTTAAATATTTGAACATATTTTTTGTTAAGCTATATTACTTGCATTTGTTATATCATATATTTGTATGAATTTTTTAATGGCAGTATTTGATATAAAGAGACCAGTAATATAAAAATTGTAGATATAAATAACAAAAGATTGTTATTAAAGTTGTATCTCGAAAAAGTTTGCTACTGTTAATTTCCATTGAAACTGCATTATTAGTTTTTTATATACATAAGAAATAAGATGTATCATATATGGCAGTATTACTTTCATTTCATTACAGATATTTTACTAATTTTTTTATTTGTATTGCATATTCTGTTTTATTTTTCTTCTTTTGTTAAAACTTATAAAGAAAATATATTCTGATAAAAATAGAAAAAAGATATGCATTAAAATAGACAATGAAAAATAGTTTCAATTAAGATATGATAAATTTTTACAAAGTCTTCTCATAAATTTTAAGTCTTGGAAATGTCTCCTTAAATTAATTTGAAATACATATAAATATAACATAATAATTAGAATTTAATGATTTCACCAAAATTTTTGTTGTATGACAATATTAAAATGTAAAGCAATTAAGGCATATATTTGGTTCAGAGCATTCAATTTATCCAAGTACCTCTGAAAAATGAGAAAAAAAATAAAATTATTTTATTCCATTATAATTATAATAAAAATAATTTAAAGTGTAAATAAATGATTAATTGCTTTTGTATATTATTAGAAATTTCAATAATATCAGAGAAAGAAATCAATTTTTTATTGAAAAGAACGAAACTATAAAAATAAAATATGTAACAATACTACAGATATGGTACAAAACATGCGTGTGAAAAAATATTCTATATTTTAATTAAAAAGTTTTGCTTTGTAAAAAATAGATAGATAATAATTTGTGCTATAATTTTCATATTTATGACTTCTTAACGTCATTTAAGGGATTTTATTATAAATAAATAAATATTATTATTATTATTATTATTACTATTATTATAAATGGCCCTTGAAAATTTTTTATCAATTAATAATACTACAAAAGCTATTCAAATAGATCCATGTCCTTTTGCAAAGTACATAAAATCACGCTTGTAAGCACAAATTTATGATCTACATAGTCATCATAGCAAACAGATCTAAACATAATATATGACAGTTGCACGTAATTTGGAGGCAAATATTTACCAAGATAATATCTTATGTAAGATAACCTTCTTCTTAAGAGAAATAATAAACAAGTATAAAAATGTATTTAAAAAATTAAATTATATTAATTTTAAGACTTATGATAATTAAATTGGATTTGATTTTTTTACGAAGCAATAACAGTATTGATTCAATTGTTACTAGTACAAAAAATTAAATTTGGTCTTTTAACCCATTCATGCAATAACATGATTTTTTTATTCATCATTATCATCATTAGGTTTAATACTAGCATAATTGTTCATATTTCTATTCACCCTTAACATTTTGAGAAAACTGCCTAGCACAAGTATGGTCTTCCTATGTCTTCTGAAAATTCCAGCATAAAGTTCTTCACGTACATCTCTTCTATCACTTACATCAGAATCAATACTTGATACAGAAACAACAGAAGGTTTTGCAGAGACCGGTTGATGATAATTATTGGTCTCCCCAGAATTAAGAATAACACAATGTTGATTGTTTATCATGTCTATTATTAGTTTTTTCCTTTATTATTTAATGTTAAATTAGAGTTTTTTATATCCACTTATATTTTAATGTCTTGTACTACAATACGTGTAGTTTATGACCTCTGTAATTACACTGCACGATTCTGTGATAAGTCAGCTTCTTATAAATGACAGACTTCTGTGTTAATCATATCAGAAATATTTGCTAGAAATCTTAGGTACAGTATTTCTTAATACACAGTACACTTTAGTTTTTGTATACAATGATATCATCTTTTTTTGTCACTTATATTCTTATATGTTTAAGGCATTTGTCTTCTCTTGTTATCTTGTACTTGCAGTATTTTAAATCTTATAATGATCTTTCACCTTGATTTTTATCTTTGACATTTTATTAAATTTTTTTTAAGATTTTTTTCAATTATTTTATTAAGATCGTTGTATTTAGAACATTATTGGTGTTTCAATCTTCTTTTTCATATTTCTTTTACATATATATTTTTAAAAAGTTTTTATTATTTTATAATAAATTATTTTAAAATATTTCAAAAATTCAAATTTTAATTTTTGATATATTGTGATTGCTTGAGATTAAATTTTATTAAAAAGTTATATTTCATAATAAAAAATAATAAGTAGCAATGATTCAAGTTTAATCTTGAAGGTAATTATTAAAAAAAGAAAAACGATCTTAAATTTTCTCCTGTTCCCTTAAAGGCCAGTGTTTGGTGCCATACTGAACCAGCTGAAAAAATTTAATAATTCATATTGAATTATGAATAATAATATTGGTTATAATGATAAAGACTCATTTAAATATTAATAGAATTTTTAAGTTTAATGTGTCCAACACATTATTCTACGACTTCGTTCTGGAATTTTGTTTTCGTAAGATATTTTTAGCAACGTAGGAGGATGGAAAATGTGGACAGATTTGACTTCATCTATTTTATGCACGATGTTTATAATAATATGTATAATGATAAAAATTGTGACATTTTTTTTACATCATAGAATAAATTATTAAATGAGGCGAAAAATATGTAAAAAATACAAAAATCAATTGTATAATTTGTTATAACATGGGCATTAGAAATCATGAGATATTGCGAAAACTATTTTTCAAATTCTAAATATCTTACTATAAACTTTATATATATGTAACATGTATTAAAGTTATATGTTAATATTGTAACAAATATTTAATAATAAGTTACATGTTATATATACTATAATTATATAAAAATATATATTTTTTTCCTCACAACTTCTCAAAATTACAAATTTAAAAAAGACATTTTAAATTATTTTAATTTGTTGCAAATTAAAACATTTTTAAAAGTAAGTTTGCTTTAGACAATTGCATTTAAACAGTATGTATGTCAGATCTTAAAGATTTTGGTCTTAGATATATTGTAGTATACAAATAATATTTTTCCTTTTTGTTCATTCATACATTTAGTTAATAAGAATATTGATGACATTTAAAGCATTCAAATTTTTGGAAAAATTTAATTTTTTAGCTATTTGTTATTTTTTTCACATAGATTTTGCCTCACGATGCTAGGGCAAGAAGACTATTTGTAACGTCTGGTGGTTTAAAGAAAGTACAAGAAATTCAAGCTGAGCTTGGGTCAACACTTTCTGAATATATACAAATTATAAATTGCTGTTTTCCAGAAGAAATTGTCAGGTTGTGTTTCATTTCATACTGCTTTTGATAATTATTTTGATTAAAGGTAGTTCCAAGAATATGCATTACATTTTATATGTTCAACACAAGATCAGTATTGCATGTTCTTAAAGTATGTGATACATTGTTAAACAACAATCTGTTATAACTATAACAATAATCATGTTTTATAATTTTTAAATTGTAATGCTACTTCAGTAAAACAAATATGATAGTTTAGAGCATTATATCACTTAAAAAATTATTGTCTTTTCTGACATGATTTAAAATTGACTAATTAAAATATTAAAATACCAATGCATGCAGAAAAGCACATACTTGCAAAGATAATGATAAGAATAGATAATTATAAAAAAAAGACACTAGTTGCTTTTGACATAACCTTAGTAATAATTTACTTACTAGGAAAATTTAGAAACGCTATTCCTTATAAATGTAAAAAGTACAGTCTTTTCACAGTCGTTTATACGAGCAGCGAATGCAAATAACTGTTGCCCCGTTTCTGAATCGCGTGTCTTAATTTAAATCGGACAAGTGATATACGGCATGACCGCCATGTTGTCACAGCTGATTACATTGGGAAAATATAAACTTAGATTTTAATGGATCAATAATTTTACATGAATCTGATAATTGATAGCATTTTGTAGAGTAACTTATAGCATTTCATTCTCATTATCGACAGATTGATTCAATGTCAAATTAATTTTACATAGAATTTTAAATTTATTTCTGCTTTTATCCGATTTCGTATTATTGGATCTTATCAATTTACAAATAATTTATAATTGAATGAATATTCATTTAGTAATCATTATTTATTATACAAATTACCATTGCAATAGCTTTTTTTCTGTCTTTTTCCTTGTAATATGCATTCTTGGATTTTTTTGGTTTTAGATATTATTCTCCTGGATATCCAAACAGTCTTTTGGAAGCTGTAGAACAGTATCAACCGAAATGCCCTTCCTTATTTGCAATAGAAGAACATTTATCTTCTGACATTGATTCTAAATCTTCGCTATCATCCTTTAACAAAGAAGGTTAAAGATTTATTTAGCTTGATTGCGGATTCAATATACGCTGTAATCATGATGTGTATTTGTTAAGGTAACAGTAATAAATAAATCTTTTGCGAAAAGTTACGTTCTTCTATATTTTAAAAAAATGTTTTTTAAATTGAAGAACCGTTTGCAGCATCTTTTATACATGTGCTACATAATTTATGCAGCTGCTCGAAAAAGTATATTTCATTGGTCACCTTTAATATTTGGATATCCAGTAGAAATTGCAAAAATCTAATTCATAATGAAATACTCTATTTTTAATATCTATAATTCAATGACGATCTTTATTCATAAGGATTTCGTAGTGTTATTTTTTTTATTTCATTTTTTATAAAACTTGAAATTAATCAGAATTAGATCACTCCTAAAATGCACATGAAGAAGTATTAAAAGTGTCAGGTCTATTCTGTAACTAGTTCATGGTCCGTGATACTGATATTATTTTGACGGCATTAGAAATAAGGACTTATGCTGTTAAAAACACGTGACTATTATTTAAAAGTGAAAATTTTACTAAATAAATAGTTCATTATGAATAAATACAAATCAGACCAAGTGAAATTAATGAAAAATAAAAGTTCAAAAGAAAAACATATTCCTTCGAAAGCATTATATAAACAAAAATACACTACACCTTTAAAAACAAAAAAACACAAAAATGAATATAATCCAGAAGAAGAAGCCAGGTAATTACAATTACCAGAATAATATAAAAAAGTTCTTTAAGTAATTTTAATTTCTTTAAAAGGTAAATTAATAATATTATTTACATGTAGGTTAGAAAAGATCATGTTTGGTGATCCGAGTGATATTATAAATAACATATCAAATAATGAGAATGCTAAAAATGATAATGATATTTCTGTATCTGATAATGTAAATAATGATTCGATTGAAGAAACAGAAATTTCTGAAGAATATTCTGAAAAGGCAGCATGGGTTGATGAGGACGATATTAAGTGTTCGTATGTATACCAAATTTAATAATAATAATAATAATAATCATCATCATCATCATCATCATCATAATCATAATAATAATTATGAATTTTTCAAAAAACGATTTATATTTTTTTTTAGCATACAAGATGCTGCAAAAATTCAAAATCGTAAAATAGCTGATGATGTACCAGAAAAATTATACAAAGATTATTTATCTAATAAGTACAAAAAGATTGTTGGCAATCCAAAATGGGCCAAGCTTGAAAAAAGTGATGGAGAATCTGATGACTTAGATAATGAAATATTAAAGGTATTTAAGGTACTTTTACCATTTCAATGAATAATATGTCTGAACTATATTGTATTCTTTTAGCATAGTTGTCATTTGGAAAAACCTAAAGTAAAAAATTTACCAAAGAGCATAATTGATATAAAAGCACTGTCACAGATTAATAAAGAAACACATACTGAAGGACCTATTGTATCAAGTGTTGAATTTCACCCATCTTCTACAGTTGCCTTGGTTGCTGGTTCTTCTGGAATTTTATCTCTTTTTCAGGTAATTATCTAAGATTCAATTATATCTATATCTTTATACTAAGGAACTCACTAAAATATAATTATAGGTGGATGGGATTGAAAATAATAAATTACATACAATGCAATATAAAAAATTTCCTATTAGTGCAGCGAAATTTCTGAGAGACGGTACAGAAGTATTGATTGGTTCTCAATATTATCCACATTGTCATTCCTACAATTTAATGAGTGGGAAAACATATAGAATGCTATTACCACCTGGACTTCCTAATATACAGGTTTAAAAAATTATAATTCTATTTTTTATAACATTTAAATTTTCATATAAATAGATTTACAAATTAATTATTTAGAAATATGAAGTATCCCCAGATGGAAAAATGTTAGCCATCTGTGGACGATCAGGAGAAATTTTCTTATTACATAGTTTATCAAAAGAACACATTACTACCCTAAAAATGAATGCTAGATGTAGAGCATTAGCCTTTACACCCGATAGTAACACACTGATTACACATGGTGGTAAGTTTTTTTTATACTTGTTTTTTTTTTAATCTAATATTGTATATAATGTAAATTTTTATTTTTTTCTGAATTAAAGACAACAGTGAAATGTATATTTGGGATTTAAATAGTCGCGTATGCATTCATCGAGCTATAGATGATGGGTGTTTATCTTGTGCTTCTCTTGCAATGTCTCCAAATGGACAGTTCTTAGCGACAGGTAGTAAAGAAGGTGTGGTTAATTTGTATGATACTAAGACAGTGTTACAAAATCGAAATCCTGTTCCTTTAAAAGTTGTTCTCAATTTTGTAACATCGATTACCAATTTAAAATTTAATCCTTATTCTGAAATCTTAGCAATGGCTTCAGATAAAAAACATAATGCATTTAAAATGATGCATTTACCATCATTTACCGTTTTTTCAAATTTTCCTACATTTCAAACAGTTTTGTCAATGCCTGAAGCTATTGATTTTTCACCAGGTAGCGGTTATTTAACAATTTCCAACAGATCATTCAGTGCCTTTTTGTATAGATTGAAACACTATGGAAATTATTAGACAACCTTTATTTGGAAAATTATTAAAAATTTTGTTCAATCTAAATTAATATTTATAAAACCTAATGTATCAAAATATGTAAGAATAAGATGGATATTCAATAATTGATGAAAACAATATTTTTTGTCTACTTACTTTATATATATATATATATATATATAAGTAAGCCTTCATGTTATAATTAACAAAATATTTTATGGCCATCTTATTAATTAATTAATGTCAATAATAGCAATAGTAGTATTAATAATAATAATGATAGTAATGATATTTCTTATAGAAAACTTTAGTAAAAAATATTTGTTATAAATTTGATTAGGAAAACATTATTAAAAATAATAGCTAAATAATACATTAGATATTATTTTTTGTTTATTTATGTTTGACAGAATCTTCAAATTATCGCTTTAGTAATTTGCATACCATGTATATAAAGCTATGGATTAATATTTTCCTACTATTTTAAATGAAAAAAATAATATATTATTAATTATGTAAAATCCACTGTAATTGTGTTTTATAAATCATTGATTTGAAGAGTGAATGTGTGTGAAAGATGAATGTATAATTCAACATATTCATGAAACAGAAATTATTATTTCAAAATTTCATTTTCATAATAGTTTCATAGTATTAAATTTGTACTACAAAAGAAAAAGTAAAAGAAAAAAAAAATTGAAAATGGTGTCTATAGGCAGAAGAAAAAGGAGATGGTATATATAAATAACATTCATAAAAGCGTAATTATCTCCTTTGGTCAATTATATAAATTTGTATAAAAAAAAATTATTGTATATTTTAGCATGCGTGATACATATGTATAAACAAAAGTGCATGTGCATACTTACTATATATATATATACTTTCTATTATTTAAAGTACATAAGGTGTACGTATACACGTGCACATTTTTATTTGTTTTTATAATTATTTGATTTACGATCCTTCACTTGTATTTAGTATAAGTTTGAATCTTGATTTTTTAAAAATTTCGACTTTCGTGTAAATTTACTTATATAATAATATCGTTTCAACTTAATTCTTGTGTACATATAAAATATTTACTACTATATATACAAAACTTTTTGTCCGTCATTAAAGAAATTTTTGTTAAGTCTTCGTTTCTTCTCTCAATTTCGAAGTTTCTAAATTAGTTTGTTCAGTTTCTATATTACTTTGGTGAATAGGTGTGAGGAACACTAGCTATTGGTCCCCAGCAGTTGTAGCAAGAGCACTAGTATCTCCACTACTACTTTCAACTATAAGCATTACAGTTTCTGCAGCACCTCTTACACATTCCACTTGGTGACCTGCCCAATCTTTACGTTGACAAAATGTAGAACAATAAGGGATTCGTCTACATAATGAACATTCTGCAAATGCTTCTCTATTGCAGTTGGCACACTAAAAAATAGTCAAGTATTATAAAAAGAGAATAAAAGATATATGTATATGAATAGAACACAATTGATAACAGCAATGATTCTAGCAATATTCTTTACTTTTTTGTTATGAGTATCTGATGCTGGCTGCAAACCAACAGTTTCAATAACATCTCCTCTACCACCTAATTGTGCCACTAACGCTTGTTCTCTTCTTTGTTGTCTGCTTACTTCCTTAGCTTCTTCCAAAATACGTCTAAATTCATAAGCCAACTTTAACATTTTATTGGACATCTCATCGAATTTTTTAAATATATCATCGCTTTGTCCATTTTCTGTTTGATGTACATTTTGGACAACAGTATCTTGATCTTGTGGTTGTTGTACAACTAAACCATCCGTTGAAACAAATTGAGGCCATACCTCCTTATCAGGTACTACAACTTCACTATCACTTTCATCATTATTACTGCCATCGCGGGAATTATCACTTTTAAGTTTGCGGGATGGTGTTTCTCCATCAGACGTATCTCTAGCCCTTCTTCTACGTTTGTATGGTGTAAATAACCTTACAGGACCTGTCTAAGATAAAAGAAAATATGATAATTAGATGAATTATAACTATTAATTGTAAAGTAATATACTAACTGCACTGTCATCATCACAACATGCTGCACAAGTGCAAGAGGTAGCATGTGGTTTTAAAATTTGTTCATCGATTAATGTTTGCAAACTTCTACCACCAAATCTAATACTGCGTTTCCAATCTTTACTAGATGCTCTCCCGCAGTAAGCTTCAAATTCACTTGGTGTGTACCACTCTTGTCCAAGTTTGATACATCTTCCTCTTCCACCAGATCCAAATCTACTTTTGTGCAATTCTGCATTCGTATTTTTACATCTAACAGGTAATACTGCTAAATTAGCAGATTCTGACCAACTGCATATTGGTTGAGTATTAGGAGTAGAAACATGAATTTGTTCAGATTCTGGCTCTTCTGTACTGTTTTGGATTACTATATGAGTTGCTTTCAATTCACCATTCCAGCGTAATGAATCTGTGTCCTTATCATGTCGTGGTTCACAAATAAAACCATTGTCCACACATAGCATCTGCTTAAACTGTCCTGATCCAGGTAACTACAAAAACAAATATGTATGAAACGTATATGATTACACATTTAATTGAAAACGCAATATTGAAATTGCGTTAATTATGTATATAGAAGCATAATTGTGTCGTACAATGGTAAAAAGAATGTGTATTTAATATTTCATGGGGTATATGGACAGGCGCATTATAAGCGTGTTAATGTTGTGTACACTGTGCGTGTAACTTACACGCGTACACGAAGAGTAAAACCCCACCTTTTTCAGTAATTCTTTAACAAGAAAATGAATGAAAATCGTCAGATGGCCAATTACGTGAATTATATCAAAGGCAAGTTTAACATTCAATTGTTTCAAGAACCAACCTGCAGTTGGTCCGATGTGATGACGTTGAAGGTCGTGCCGTTGGTCGAATTCGCTACACCGATGATAGAACCAACGGGTAAAGAAACCGGTACACCGACTCCTGGAACACCAGGAACACCCGGCACTGGAGTGACGCTTGCCGTCACGGCGACGGTATGCTCCTCATGCTCGACCTTTAGGGCAGACGCATCCTCGGTTTCGCTCGTCAACGGTTCGGACATGTCCGGTAGCACGGCGACACTTTCCGATGTTTGACTCTCCTCCATTTCGGCTGTTCTCGCCTCTCGCACACACTATGGCGTCAGCGCACGCTCAACACAGCGCCACTTGATCTTTCGCTACTTGCAATTACTCGCGATCACACAACTTCGAATTTACTCGACACGCTTCCAAGCTAACCGCAATTGAGCCTAGATTGAAACGGTCATTAAACGGAAACGGTGTCTCAATCAGCGTGCCATTATTATTTTCTTCCGCCTTACGGCAGGATCTTTGTTGTTTCCTTTACATAGATTACATAGATCACATTATGTACATATATGAATCCGATATCGAGTGCCATCTTTACATATTTCGAGCAAGCGCTTGGTTTAAATTCTGCCCGATATATTTCGATGATTTTTAACCGACGAATTTTCCTTTATACGTATCATGCTTAATCACGGTAATATCCACGAAATATAAAGTAAACTCAATTGTGAATGAAAATCTGTTTAAGAGACATAATTTTTCTAACCGTTTATTTTTGTAGGTATGGATTATTGATTTTAAATAAACCGTTACTCCTAGAATAGAAGGTTACCAGCTAAGATTGGTTCGATTGACACATTCACGTATATATAAACGTTGATTTGATTATTTATTAATTATAATATTATTATTTGTTGAGTCGTCGACGTTGCTTATATATTTAAATAAGAAAATATTTTGAATCTTTTGCATTTGTTCAATTATTGTTCATAAATATTTAGATATTTTGATCGACTTGTAGTAACAGTACTTGATTTGATCAAAATGTGCAAATCCTTGATAACTAGATGTGATCGATAACTAAATACGATAACTGAATAATCGATAACTAGAAGTAGTATTCACTGTCTTTTTATAGAATCAGAAGATTTTAATTTAATTTCTATTTTTTTCTTTCTTGTTTATTAACAACACGTAAAAATGTTGATCATTATTGTTTTATAAACATACTTTAGACCATGGAAAAATAATTGAAAAATCACGTAAGTAGAAAGTTCGCTTTCTTGCTCGACATTTATCAAAACATCGTTTTGTAGAAAACGTGGGAACAGATGGTTCTTTAAACGTATTCTGTCATATTCGCAGATGAAAATGACAATAGACGTTTAATGTAACGTTTACTGTGAAAGGAATGGACGTTTAAATTTGTGTAATTAAAGTCGTGAAAGCAAAAACTGTGTCTCAACCCAAGGAATAAACACAATGGATAGATGTTAGAGATATGTGATTTGTAAGGTATCTTGACTTTCCCTTAATTTGCTTAAAAATCGTCGTTCAACAACGTTTCCTTCAATTAAACTATGTAGCATTCAGACCGTGCATATGCTCTTATTTAAATATATCAGTGTTATAGTCCTTCGTTTTTATTAGTGGAAGAGCTATCGTAGGACCAACATCTCATTGAACTTTTCGCCTTTTTTTTTCTACGAACACAATTTATCAGAATTTTCTTTCATGGTTTTTCCTCTAAAGTTACTACGTTGAATATACATTCGTTCGATAATGTCTAAATACTATATGATTACGTTACTGTTGTACTTTTGTATAAGTATTGATGCTTGGAGTTCTTTTAAAAGATTTCGACATCTTTGGCAACCAAATATTAACCACGCGAACGAATCGTTATCGCTTGAACGTGATTCTCTAAAGAATAAATTACAGTCAATTAATTTTCAAACTAGTGCACCAAGCCATGGTAGCAGAGAAAAACGACGTAAGTATATTTTTCACAGACAGTTGTCCACATTACACGTGGACATTTATTTATTTGTAAGAGATTAACATTCAAGGAGTTCATTATCCTTAACACAATTAATTATTAAGTTGTAGATAAGATAGAGAAGATGTTGATAAGATTTTGATTCATTAAGGATCAGCGTTAACGCAATATTTAACTTATTGTAAAAGATAAAATTGAAATTTGCATCAATTTCATTTTTTATCAGTGTATTTATGAAAAGGAATTTCAAGAATTTGCTTAATTTTTTTTTTCGTCAAGGTACTTTATTTCCTATGTTTTAAATTTTATATGATAATACACTTTATTGATTTCATGAGAAGATAATAAATATTTTTCACATATAGTTATGCAACTTGACCAAAATGTCCACGCATTTATAAGTAACAATATACATACTTCTTTATTGCAGTAGAATAATGTATTTCATTTATCGCATCTAGTTTTTCCATTATTCACTTTGGTAAAATTTGACAATAACGTTTGCGCCGGATTAAATGGTGAGAATGGTACCTGTCTCGCGACTTCAGAATGTTCGCAACGTGGTGGTATATCAAGTGGAGTTTGTGCAAATGGTTACGGAGTCTGTTGCATTGGTACGTTATATTTTTCTTTCTTGCTCTAAGTACTATTAATAATTTCTTTCTCTTCTATCTTCTAGTGACAGTATCTTGTGGTGAGACAACCAGCAATAATAACACTTATTTCGTTAATCCGAATTATCCATCGACGTTTGATGGTACCGTATCTTGTCAATTAACTCTCGTTAAATCCCATCCAAGCGTATGTCAATTTAGGTAGAATACTTCCATATTGAATGTAGTTCTTCATTCGATAGAATTAAATATTACTGACAAATATAAATATTTTTTTTATAGATTGGATTTCATACAGTTCAACATAAGAGGTCCGGAAAAGACTAACCATCAGTGTATCTATGATCAATTTATCGTTTCTGGAGGTAATCCGGTACCTACGATATGTGGAAGTAATGCTGATAATCATAGTATGTAACGATTCCATTTATGAAGTCCATTTGTGGAAATTCCACTTATAGAGTTGTCATTTTTTTTTTTTTTTTTACAGTATATATCGATGCTGGCCTTGGACAAACAAATCCTGTTACATTAACATTTGTTACGAGCGGAAATTCTTTTGCCCGATCTTGGAAAGTACGTCTCTCCCAAATTCGTTGCAATACTATATACAGAGCCGAAGAAGGATGTCTGCAATATTTCACAGGGATATCCGGTCAGATAAAATCGTTCAATTACGATCCTGTCACAGGATTGCAATTGTCGAATCAAGATTACAGTATTTGCATCCGAATGGAAAGAAATTTTTGCGGTATCCAGTACATGACATGTCCGATTGATGATAAAGCAGGTAATGCGCGAATAGATTGTATTGGAAGAATATCAAAATCGTCAAAGGGACGAATTTCAGGAGCTACGAATCGAAAATTACAAGACTAATATTTGATCGGTATTTTTAACAATTCAATAATATGTATTATATGAAATAATATTTTATGAAATCAGATAGTGCCAGTATGACTCAAATGACACGTAGTCATGCATTTACGTTAACCGGAAATACGCAAGCAATGCAGATAGCATCGATGACAGGAGCAGCCTGTCAAACCGACTGGTTAACGATCCCGTGTGCATCCAATACAGGTAGATTACCAACTACCATGATCACCTGTATCGATCGGATATGCGGTGGGACATTTAACGCAGAAAATCAGAATTTGAACACATCTTCAGTTATCAGTAAGTATTCGTGATATTTTATACATTCATTTCTAATAATACTTATACTATAATAGAATCTTTAATTAATCCAAGCCATATTCCTTCTAAATGTGAATTCATTAATTTATTCTATCAAGCTGTATTAATCATACAGAAGTGGAGGAATTCATTTTTTCCATATCAGATTTATTATCGTTGGGTAATGCAATTGCTCATTAACCGTATTTTGGATTACTGTATTTATAAGGCTTAAAAACAATATTTGTTTCGTGCTATCATAAATGTATCTTGATTGTCAGGTACCGTGAAACCATTTAGATTAATTTTCCACACGGATAGCGTTGAAGCGCCAAACGATGTTGGAAATAGGGGATTTTGTTTGAATTATATACAACAACCTTGCACGACAAAATTGAGGTAATTTGCTTTTCATATTGCTTCTCATCTATACCATAATTGCAACTTAGAGGAGATTAAAGGAAAATGAATAATAGTAACAATTAAATACAGAATTTTTAAACCTTTATTTGCATATATTTAAGTTGGAAATAAAATGATCTATGCCTATTAATACCACATATGCAATGAAACATATTTGAACTCGTATAAAATAGCAAGTGAATCACCATAAATGATTCTTTCCATAAAAAAAAATAGTTTCTCATCTTCTATAATTGCAATCATTTCTCTCGTAATCCCCAAAGCAAAACAAATTGTAAAATTTGATATATTATTATTTTTATATTTTGTGTAAAATTAAATATATTCTTACCGAATTTAACTGTAATAACTCAATAATCTCAAGATTCGAAACGATGACTTATACTTGCATCAACACGTGTCGTGCAGAGATGAGAAGTTCCCCGAAAAGAATGTGGTTATTTCCAATCCATTCTTAAATTTAAGAATACCTATTCGTTGAGAGTGTCATGCAGAACAAACAGAACCTAGTGGCTCGGATACTGAGAGAAATAACTTCTTCCTTTGCTCTTGCATGGCACTTTTCATTTTTGTACATAGATACAGCTATATATAACTGAAAATATATAATTTGCAATTCGTCAGTAGACGATACTAGAAGTGAAATTTCTGTAGCGGATGATTATATGTATAATGTAAGGTTATAAAGGATATAGAAGGTGGAGTGTACTTCGTCTCAGTCACCGCCAGATTCATGAATAAGGCTGATACTGGCTAGTCCTAATCTCAGACGCTCGGTTTATTAGGAACCTCTAGTTTGGGCCAAGAAACGGCACCCATCCTAGAGATGTTACGCACGCTGCACGCTTAACCTAAAGATTGAACTTGATCCGTAGCTAATTGTAAGCGGTATCCACTTACGATTTGTAATATTCGAGTCTTTGGAACTGGTATACCAAGGAAAGACTGGATCTGCTAGCCGCTAAAGGCATTAAAATACTAACGTCGCGTAGCGGTAAAACAGTGGAACTAATTTATATTATTGTCCTTGTCCCACGCTATCACTCTCCTTGTCTACCGCGCGAATATGTCTGTCCTTATCCCACGCTATCGCCCTCCTTGTCTACCGCGCGAGTATGTCTGTCCTTGTCACACACTAGTGCCCTCCTTGTCTAATGACGCTAGACAAGAAAAGCAATCGTGTGCGACAAGGACATCCTTCGATCTATTGAAAAAAAATTCAACTATTTGCATACACGTTTCTCTAGGATAAAACACACATAGAAAGAGAGCAGGAGCCTAATTTTAAGGAGGCATATAAAAAAGTTCGCAAATTATTCCTCTAAATTAAGTTTTTTTCGTAATTAGTGCGAACTGTCACAAAACATGGTGGTGCCATCTATTGATAACTTGGTGGCACTAAAAACAGGAATATCTGTTTTTAGTACTATAGACCCATCAATAGATGGCGCCACCGTCGCTTCTAAACATTGACAGGTGACAGTTTTTCCATAAATTACGAGACGAAATTAATTAAGAGAAATCATTTGTGAACTGTTATGGTTGCGTCTTCGATTTTAGAGAACCTAAGCTTGCATTTTATGTTTTGTTTAAGTATGGTTTACGTATATAAAGAACGTTTCAATTTTGTTTACGTTAGTAGTAGTGTCAGTAGTGAGCGCATAATTTCGCGCAAACTATAATGAATATTAGATTCAGATTTATTTGCGAACGTAACTGATAGCATTATCTTTGAAATATATGCTCGTGGAGTGCAAAATAGTTGCGTGAAAAATTAAAATTAATTATTCCCCTTATATTCTCATAGAGCATTTAGTTCCACCTGTCTGCCACGGTGCTAGTGTTTCTTACCCCGTAAAACAGAGAAATTTTCATTTGCAAAAAAACTTAATTTAGCGAAATGAATTGTGAACCTTTGTGATCGTATTACCCTAATTAGATCCTTAGCTTTCTTTTCATATCCCATTTGATTCATAAAATGCAGAAATGAGTATTTTTATAAATAATTAGTACTACTGAGTTACCGCTAGATGGCGCCACCATGTTTTGTGACAGTTACACAGCACTAATTACGAAAAAAACTTAATTTAGAGGAATAATTTGCGAACTTTTTTATATGCCTCCTTAAAATTAGGCTCCCTGCTCTCTTTCTATGTGTGTTTTGAGAAACGTGTATGCAAATAGTTGAATTTTTTTTCAATAGATCGAAGGATGTCCTTGTCGCACACGATTGCTTTCCTTGTCTAGCGTCATTAGACAAGGAGGGCACTAGTGTGTGACAAGGACAGACATACTCGCGCGCTAGACAAGGAGGGCGATAGTGTGCGACAAGGACAACAATATAAATTCCAGCACCTATCCTAGGGGTGATCCAGACGGTGCATGCATAAATTGATATCGGTATTAATGATGCGTACAGAATTTTTATTTTTACAATTTGGTTTTGTTTTATTTTTATGATTTATTGATAATGAATTTATCATTTAACGAATTGTACATAGAAAACATGCTCATGAACTTAGAATCAAATTCTCGATGATAATAACGAAACGAAACAATAATTGCATTTGCAAATATACCTGTTGGTTATTTCCTATCAAAGTGACCGAAAAAATTGTCTTACAGATCAATGAAAGTATATTAAGCAGATACAGATTATTAGATATATTAGATATACCATACGAAAATCACAGCAGAAAAACATGATAAATATATCTTACGCATATAACATAGAGGTAGATTCCAAATTTTAATCAATTGTGTTTAGCGAATTACTGAAAAAGTGATAATTAAATTATTTCTGTTCGATCGATCATGAGTTTTATTTGAAAACGACATTGATATATGTATGTAAATGGAAGTGTATACCATACATTTCAAATTACTATCTATTAAGTAACCGTATAGAGTTTAATTGTGCAAATTCGTTTCTCTTTTTTTTTTTATTTTTATTTTTCCAATGATAAGTTTAATCAGTTAATGAAACACTATTTTCACATGAGTATGTGTGTATTATTTAATGGGAAATATTATCAATTAGACCAAGTTTAACAGGCCGTTAAAAATTCGTAGAAGAAATATGAATGAAATATGAATGAATACTGTTCATCATCACGTGCTTATATACTATATATATATATAAGTATATAAGATGATTCATGTAAATGAAACAAATCAGATCTTTGTTTTTTTATGGAATTTGAATGTTAGATAAAATAAGTAAACGGCATAAGAATCTTTATTTCTTTGCAATTTTAGTTTTAATCCAGTGAAAAGTAAAATTATAGCCAAATAAAGTTCCTCATGCTATTCATTTAATTTTCTTTAACATTATTTTCTAACTCCAATTACGTAAATCACCCTACACACATATCGATCGATCACTTTGACATTTAGTAGTTCTTTGCATCAGTAACAAATACATAGGGACATTGAGCATATGTACATTACTTACACGTATATCATTCACAACATATGTTCAAGCCGTGAGCCGTAGAAGAAAAAAAAATACATGTAAATACATATAATATTATATCACGGGTGTGAAGTGAATTTCTTTGTAATTCCGTCCATTAAAACGAAGATTACATTTCGAAGATGTACGTTCCTCTTCTCTTAGATTATAAAATTCTTATAAAACATTGCTTTACATTATATAACGTGCGTGAACATACACGAGACATACATAAATAAATAAGTATAAGAGTAAAATCAATTTCACTTATTGTTAGTCTTGATATCTTGATATATTGTATATTTGCTTCCAACATATTCTAGGATCAATATTGATTGTACGTATATCAAAATTTTAGATCACAGCAAAACTCCATTCATCTAAACTCCGTTTTTTTTTTTTTTTTTTTTTTTGGAACCTAGTTAGTGAACACTTGTCGATTACATCCATTTATCTCAACATAAACTTTCATTATGTAAACGAAAAATAATAGATAGCGAGTAGGTTGCACGTATTTATGCAATTTTTATGTAAGAAATTCAAGGCCGCAAAAATGCATGTATCGCAGCATGTAGAAATGAGAAAAATTGATGAACTCCTGATGAAAAAATGGAATTCTATTGCATTCTATTGATATTCGATAACTTATTCCAATAACAACTTCACATATTCCAATAACACGTGTTTAACTATGACTTGGGAGTTTTTAGTGCATACAAAAATGAATTATCCTAGATATTTAAATATTATCAAACTTACATTATTTTGATTTAATTATTGAAATACAAATTGTGTATAATATAGCCAACTGAATATTAATATTTATCGAATATAATTGTGCCCAATATCATCCTTACTATTATTATAAAATACCGATATTATATTCTAAGTAAACAGTTTCTGTCGACTTTGTATATTTTAAATATTGTACAAGTCAATCATTTTCTAATACTCTAGATTGATAATCATGTTCAATACGAGACGAACAGATATCTATCCTAATACTTATGGTGTATATGCATGATGTGTCATAAAATTGATCGATAATTCAGCTCGGATACAGTGATGTGGTAATGAAGTGCAAAATTCTTTGCTATAGTCGATGGAAAAAAGGATCGGGTCAAGTATACTATAAAAGTTCATGGTCGGTTAGAAAATCAATCGGGTGTAATTCATGGCGATCAATTTCTTCTGGAGCCTCTTGTTTTCGTCAAATGTTTGCTCATCATTAACAATAAAATTAAATATCCTTACCTCTTATTGAGCCGATTACGCACAGAGGATTGTAGATAACTCTGATGAAATGATGGGCCGTTTGTTACTTTGTATCAAGATATTAAGAGTCCTTTGCAGAACCTGCTTTTAGGAAATATGTCAACATATCGATAGGTAATGGGAATACGATCGTTGAATTTTTCTCGGCCGAGATAGTATTCAAAGTCTGGAAGTGATTAAAAAAAGAAAAGATAACAGTAAGTAATGATAATACGCGTAAATAAAAATAAAATACGAATTGATAAGTACATACTTGCAAATAACGAAGTTGCAATGCGGCAGGTGAATCACCGATCACCTCCGAGGCCTCTCTTAATGCTCGACTAGCCTTCTGCTCACCCTCTGCTGCGATAACCTACGCATCCGTGTGAACTCTCATCATTTACCATCATTTACCATGATCAACGTTTGGTAAAAGAGGGGAAAAAAAAAAAAAGAAGGGAAAGAAAACCAATAATCAGGAGGGGAAAGGGAAACGAACCTTGGCGCGAGCTTCGCGAGCAGCTTCAGCTTCTGCGGCCATAGCTCTTTGTAGCTGGACTGGTAATCGTACATCTTTTCTGTGGAAAAATTTACTTGTATACGTACGTGTATATGTACATGTAAGTAAATATTAAGTCGTCTAATAAATTCATAGCGCAACACGTTTATACAGAACTGCTTTTACATATCGTTTTATTTCAGACAACTATAATCACGTATAGTCCTAAATATTGACGAAGATGGATGAAAATTGATCCTGTAAGCATTGATCCGAATTAAATGGCTTTGAATGATATGACCCTAATCTATATTGATATTTAGAGAAAATTGGAATGATACTGAAATTGAAAGCAGCTTTTAAATAACAGACAAGTAAACGGTATGAGCTTATTGGACCACGTAATACTTATAAATATAGCTTACGGTCTGGTTACATAGTATCGGAGGCGCCCACTTACATTTCAACTCGTTCCACTTTGATCCCCCACGTGTCGGTAGCTTCGTCCAAGGAAACCTGGCATTCGGGTTTTATTTCAAACATCCGTGTACGTGTTTATGTGCGCGCGTGTTGCGTGTGTGCTCTCGTTCAATTCCAAATTGATTCCAGATTACCTGCATGTTCCCGGAGATAGTTTCGCGCTCGCTGAGAATCTCGTGAAGCGGCCTGGTTCCCATCGTGTTACGAAGCGTTGTTTGCGCCAACAGTTTGGTGCTATGATGAGCGTTCTCGACGTTTGTGATCGAAATCGTCGCGTTGTTCACTCGATAGTACACTACCGCGTCAACCGACACCGTCACGCTGTCCTTCGTCAACACCTGACAAAGATAATTAAATAATTAAAATGATTCATGAACTCGTTGGTTCGACGAATTACCTCTTGAGGCGGTACGTCGTAGGTCCGTGTGCGTAAATCGACACGAGCGTAATTGTCCACGCAAGGGAGAATGAAAAAGATTCCTAGAAATAGTAATCACGTGAATGAATCCTTCCGATGTGATCGCTTGAAACTGATGGCATAAAAACTTCGATTCATTAATTAAAGTAATAAATTTAATGATATTTTTACCAGGTCCTTTAGCGCCACCAGAAAGAAGCCTTCCTAGACGAAATATCACTGCTCTCTCGTATTCTTGTACCACCTAAGAAATTTCAATGGTTCTTTGTTTTTCATTTTATAACCCGATGAGAAACTTATAGAGTAATAATAAAAAAGAAATATATTCATTTATTATGTACTGTACTAATTGAGCTGTATATGTTGTACATGTGTTGTAAAGAGTGTAAGAACGAGCGGAAAAATGCTAAAGGATATGAACAAGAGTGTGATCGGTCATCTAATTATAAAATAACCTGGGAAAGAAGGTTAATGAATGGAGATTGTATAGTATTTGCGGCTGAAATAATAATTGAGATATTTTTGGATGCGTTCGATATGAACAACGTTTTTTTACTAAGCTACTTTGATCGCGACATGATAATCCTTCATAGCGTTTATAGATTACAACATCAAGAATTATAAAGGAAAATTTAAAAATGTAAGAAACAGAATTTTAAAGCAAATTAAAGGAAAAATAAGACAATACAAGAGGGTACTATTCGCGTGTTGCCCTACCTTGAAGCAAATGAATAGGGAAAATGGCATCGTAAGAATCACCATGAGCCAAGATAATATCACAAGAATATTTTTGCAGGTGTTAGAGTTTGCTTCTACCTTGTCTTCCGCTGGAACATAATAAAGTATGTTATAATGGTCAAAAGCAGTTAGAAATGAGTGAAGGTACACATAGCCAAGACCGTACATGTTTCGTACATATCTAGTCGTCTACGTTTCATGAATTTCAGAAGACAACCAAAATGACCAAGTTAAGTCTAAAAGAGGCTGAATTTAAATGGAATAAATCATCAAGCATTCTAGATATTAAAAAAATGTAAATAAGATGCGTTCTTATATCCAATATCTAGACAGGATGATATTCGATAATTAATTCGCAAAGTTCATTCATTATTATTAAACAGAAACAAGAAGAAAAATAATATAATACGATATCGAAGAATGCGTAAATGTATTTATAGGAATATTCAGTTGTCTCATCGATTTTACGAGTATCTCCAGCGTATTCACGCGCAGATCGATATTTAGATGTGTATACAACCTACATTCAGAAAATTACGTCTCCGTAAAAGAAATGGATCGAATTATGTAAAATGAATAGAAAGTACGTCTAAAGTAAATCTAAAGTAATCTAGAAGTAATATTAATGAATTGACAAGTTACGAGTTATTAAATAGGACAGAGACTTCTCTTTTACTAATTTATAAGTTTTAATTAATTGGGATACTCATATGAATTTGTACAATTTACTTATAATATTTCACTTGTTTCGTTACTCGACTTGTACAGCTTTTAAAAGATTAGAGGATTATTACTGTTGATATCTTGTGCCTTATAAAATTTCAATTGATAATATTTGATAAAATTTACAAGTCATAAGCTATTGCTTACCTACAATGTATGTGATTATCAACATAAAAACTGATAATTTAACTATAAGAAAATATAAACTATAATATTTTTTAAAATCATACGAAAACTTCTGAACAGTTTTAAAAATTCTAATCTGCAGTACTCGCTTACCTTCCGTCATTGTGAACTGTAGCGATGATTGAATTCGATTTGGCAAATTCGAATCGAGCGAAAAAATCACACGAATCCCTCCTCACGCTCACCAAGTCTTTGAACTCTGAATAAATAGGGGTGGAGAGGAGGTTTCACAGAGAAAAACGAAATATGGCAGAGCTTCAATACTATTCGTGTCACACGATCCTACTACGAGTAGTTGCTTAGCCGGTCTACGTTTAACCACCCACCCATAGCAAGTCCTTGCTTTCCTTTTTTCCTTTACCTTTTTTCCCCCGTTTTCCCGTCTCGTTTACTATCACCCTCTCTCAGATGGACGCTCACTGTTGCTCTTTTCCTCTTACCTATTTCTCTTCTCCCTTTAGTCATACCGACATGCGCAAAATGCGCACACCCCTACCTTTTCTATTTTCAATACTTGTATCTTCTCCTCCTCCTCTTCTTTTTTTTTTTTTCTCTTATTGTTCAGCTCTGTAATTTTCCCTCGCCTCCCTTAATCATTAATTATTACTGTTGAGCCTTTCCCTGGCATAACAAACTGATTCTTCATGCTCGCACAGAAACATTGAAAACATAGGAAATTGATATTTCCTAACTTTTGTAATCTTCGTTCTTGCAAATTGTCTACGTACATACACGCATGTGTATAGATACCACTTCCGCTTCTCTATTTATGTACTATTTATTACTTGTTACGTGTATAGTGTAAGTCGTATATTCGTTCTTGAAATATTTCTATCGATTTATACTTAGAAAGTACTTGTTACACGTGTTTATAGCTTATCCATCGAAATCAGCACGTACAAAGTTGATGCTAAACAATACCAAGCAACAATACCAACAACACCATTATCTATATATAGAATAATCATTTATCTTGGAAACCATTTGGAGAGGGACCGTAATTTTCTTTGTGTTCCTCTATAGCTATATATATCACGTCTAACCATAACGAGACATTTCTACTTGGAACTCTGTTCTCTCTTCTTCAAAGTTAAACGAAGTTATACATAGATAGAGCGTAGAATATACGTATAAAATGATCGACGACCTTGTCTGAGAGTACATTTTTCCGGAGTGTAAAGAAATATTTGACCTTCTTTAGACCCGAGTAATATTTTATATTGCCCAGTCCAACGTGACGCAATGTTGTATATACGTGTGCTTCAATTTAATGATGTACACGTAGTGCGAAAATATATTTATAATATAAAATTTTTCTAACTCACCGCCGATGATACGATTTTGTATATCATCTGGCCGCGTATTGATTTGTATCGTTGATCCATTTCCATTGCTTATAGTTGCCATAGGTATAGACATATCACTAGGCTTCACACGGGATTCAAATCTCGCCACCTAAATTACAGATCGTATAGTGACTTGATTTAAAACTGAGTTGTAGGAAGTGCAAAATTTAACTCCAATAAAGTGTATACATTCGATTTATAATCGCAATTTATTCTCTCTAAAAATGTACTTTACATTTAAATCAATTTAAATCAGTTATATTCTGATAACTTTCGATTTTCTATAAAAATTCTCATTATCACTGTTAGTATAGTCGTACGTATAACTAGAAGTTAAATATCGGAATAATATATGAAGTGTATTGTGGTACTATATAATTGAAATGAATATAATTGTGAAAAGAATGAATAAAAATTTGTTGCCACAGGATCGTATTCCATTACAAATCATTCCGCAGTACGAATGTGAAAAATATTAAAAACAAGTATTAAAACCAAGAGGAATGTGTATTCACCTTGCACCAATTGTTGGGAGTCGTTGAAAGAAGTAACAAGAGTAATGAAGCTAACGTCGCGATGCAGTGACGTTTTATATATGCGCGGCCGCCGCCCTTACTAGTAGTATAGAAAAATATGTAATCAGCCAATAAAGCTATAAAGTACAACTCGCGTTATAGAAAGCTCTATATGCCTTTTCTTTTCTTTCTGTCATTGTCGAAACGATTCACATCGTGAAAATCAACAAACAATTACAACTCGAACTGAAAAAAATGCAGAAAAATGTAAAGTGAGGAGCAGTTGATCCATACATAGCACGTGTACATGATCTGACGTCAATTTTTTTCTTCAGCTATTACTAATCGGCATACTCAATTATACGTAAAATATACAATACGAAATAATAGATTATTGATAGTATGGAATGTGATGATTTAAAACTTTGTTACATTGGCTACATCTGAGAATTTGAGAGATGAGATCGTGTAATAGCGACAAAAATATTCGATCGAAGACATAATTCACTTTGATATTTCATATATATTCAACTTTAAAGAAACTTGATTTATTTGTAAAAAGACGAAGACATCTCGTAATTGAATTACATATTAATAAAATATTAATGATGCAGTAAAAACGAAATAAGGAAGACATGCATGCTCATTCAATAACGTAATAACTCAAATCAATAACGTAAAACATGAAAATAACAAAGGTTCTCAACAAGTTGAGACTCTTTTTTTTATAATGTATTACACAAGGAAAAAAGGATAAAAGTAATAAGAAAATTATGAATTAAGAGTAAATGTTTATTAACATTACTCTTAAAATATATAACAATATTACTGTATGATACATCGCGCATTTTCACATTGGTAGTGAACAGAAGTGTTCATTACTTTGTTTCTTACAAATACATCACTGCATTATATTATATATTCAAGAGAATTAAGATTTACAAACGACTGTTTCATTCTTGATGAGTATCGTGCAGATCTTAAATATTAAGATATATCGATCAAAGTGATGTATAAAAATGAACACTGATCTCTTACTTCCATTGACTTCGTTAAATCGATTTACAAAGGAAAATGTGTTGCAAGTACGTTGCTTTGAATTGGCTACTTTGCAGACCGTATTCATCACTTCGCATACTAAATTCGCTACTATCCGATTCGACATTTGCTTATGCATAAACATATGCGATATAACGATTAAACGTGAATAACGCGATCGACGCAGGCAGTATGTATATTTATCCGTGCAACGGAACATTAATTATTGCGATATACTCGAAGAGAATCTAGCGTGCGATCATGTATGTGAAATATTTTCATTGTAACTAGCAGTTCTGGTCTTCGTCACTGAAAAACACTGAACAGTACTGGCTGAAAATGATCGTTAGAAGTCTTGAAAATACTGGCTTGAAAGGTTAAAAAGACTGGCTTTTTACAGTTTCATTTACGTGATTTCCTTTGTATTGATAAATACTTTAAAACGCAAGACCAGCTTCGGAATAAGTGGCAAATATCTTCTCGATCGAATTAATATAAGCGGCTGTCCTCAAGTCCAAGCCGAGATTGAACTTCATGGCTGTCTTCATAATAGCCTGTTACAGAATAAAAATAAAATTAAATTTAGAACATCACAATTAGTTGTTTTCTACTTGTTTATTCAAGAATAATTAATTACCCTTGCGGATCTTTCCATAGTATAATCTAAACCAGAATGGACGATGTCTTTTTCAGAAGCACCAGAGATGCGTTTTTGGAACGCTTCGGAAGGTGTAACAGGAATTCGACCGCCTACACGGCCAAATCTGCGTTCTAACGATTCTTGTACAGATTCTAAAATTAAAAAAAGAAATTTTTTTAATGTGTAATGATGTACAATACGATACGATAATATGTACGTAAATCGAATCTTTATTACTGGCATGTGTAACCATACGTACCTAACAAGTGATAATTTGATTCCCTTTCGTATTTGAAAGTTAGACGACCATAAGACACGTGATTCAAGTTCTTTAACCATTCAAAGAATGAAACGGTAACACCACCAGCATTTATATATAAATCTGGTATAACCAAGACATTTTGCTCAATTAAAATTTTATCAGCAGCTGGAGTAGTCGGACCATTGGCAGCTTCAGCTATGATTTTTGCCTAAAAGAGATATAACAACAGTTTTAAAAAAACGAAAACGATATGTATTTAACGTCAGAAAGCAAATGTTGAGAAAATTTTTTTAACCTTCATAAGACCAGCATTGGCTTTAGTGATAACTTTCTCGACTGCTGCGGGTATAAATATATCACAAGGTTCGTACATAAGATTTTCACCTTCGTACGGTTTAGCACCAGGGAAGCCCACGATAGTACCATTCTCTATACGATAATCTTCCAATTGCTGTAGTATATAAATTACATTAAATAATCTTATTAATGTAGAATAACCCTGAACTATTGCTATTGCATCATTACGAGAGAATTCACATATTATGTATTAAATTCCATATAGTCGCCTACCTTGGGGTCAATACCTTCGGAATTGAAGATAGAACCATCGTGTTCGATTACTCCTATGCAAGTAGCACCGGCACGTGTCAAGTAACGCATCGAATGTAAACCGACGTTACCAAAACCTTGAACGATGAATGTTTTTCCTCCCCAGCCAGGTGTGGTACCTAATAAGAAAAAGTTAATTAATGAAGAAAGTAAAAAGTAGGTAGCTTACTATTGATGCATTAAATACAACTAGAAAATTAGAATTATTATTAGCAGAGACTATTATTAACAGAAACAATTCTAGCTAAAAACAAAAAATAAACTAGATACATTTTCTTACCGATCATGCTCATGTAATTAGCTTCATTGATAAAATTTTCTATTCCGTGGAATAAACCACGCCCCGTAGCAGAAATACGTCCATGTATTCCACCTTGATTAATTGGTTTCCCAGTTACACAGGCATGAGCATTGATATCCAAATGTCCTATTGTCTTAGCGTATGTATCCGCGATCCAGGACATTTCGCGTTCTCCAGTTCCCATGTCGGGGGCAGGAACATCGATACCGGGTCCTTCAAAGTCAGATAAAGATATATTTAATTTTGATGTATTTAGTTTTTCTCCAAAGAAATATAATCTAGTAATTCTATTTTACAATACTCAGACATTGACAATATTATCAATTATTATTTACTATTCATTCAATTATACAAAAATTATGGACGATTGTTTCTAAAATTTTTTTCTCTTAAATCCCAAGGCTCAATTGCTCAATTAAACTGACATTAGTGAAGAGCGATAAGATATCAAGTCCAATAAATCCTCTTATCATAACAGGAAAAAGTTTGATGATAGAATGAAATTTTACAAATTATAAGTATCTGATTATCCTACTATAAGTGTGAAATTATAAAATTGTAAAAGAGAAGTCTATAATCTACAACTCATAACTTATCTACTGTTTAGAGGATATAAATTTCTTTTCTTTTTCAACTAATAATTTCATGGGTGATCTAATATTATATATTCGCAAGTATGTGTACAGTTTAATCAATTTGTATTATGAATACATGAGTGTTATTAAAATGTGTACTTTTTATCTTCAAGTAGAATCAACAAATATATGAATTTTTAATTATCTAAGTCAAACAGCACATATCAATGATATATTATAATGATATATGTTCTGTTAATCTAGTTCAAATATTATTAATTACAATTTCTTTTTCTTACAACAGAGTCAAGGCAATCAATAACCATTGGGTAATAATTTTACGTGTATTAACTTCAAATATTCATATTTATGTAACATGATCATTATATGCTGACGTGTTAATAAAACTTATCACAACGAGTCGAATAAACAGTCAGTTAATCAGAATAAATTTAATAATACCGCGTACAATCGTGTGATGAAATTACGTCTGTTTCTTCGATTAATTCGTTGTTTCTCCAGTTATCTTTAACATGAATGTAAATAAAGCTCTTCTTCGAAGTATCGAAATATCTTACCAATAAATCCCTTCTTTGCGAGCTCTAACGTGAACCTTCTTGTGATCTTTTCGAGCTCATGTTCCGAATACAATTTAGGATTAATTTTAATACCGGCTTTAGCTCCACCGAAAGGAACATCCACGCAGGCACACTTGAAAGTCATTAATGCCGATAAAGCTTTCACTTCGTCTCGCGAGACGTCCATCGAGAAACGAATACCTGTAATAAACAATGATCGAAATAAAAATATTGTAAAATAAAGATTTATTAAATGATAATATTACTTAAAATTAAAGCAACACTTATTGTGCTTTGATATAATAAAATTTCAATAAAAACTAGGAGCAACCTAGGTTACAACTAGGAGCTGTTTTAAATACGCTATTACACGTTGTGCTTTATTTGAATAAAAATAGCGTTAATTGATTATAACTATATTTTAGTTTAATTTCATTATTATAAAATATATATAGTTGCTTTTATAATCGATATAGCATAACTGGATGTTTATTTGACAATTCCAGTTTCAACTTCCGTTTCGATAAAAATTTCTATAATTTAAGAGTAAAAAAAAGTAGATATCCTTCGAAAGTAATTATATACGATAATGGGTGTTGACACAATTGTGCGCCTACATATTTATATGTGACCTTGTTAATAATTTCCTTAAATAACAGCTGGATAATTTAACAATTTAAATCATACTGTTAACATATGAAATTTAAGTAAAGACTCTAATGATCGAAGAGATATTACTAAAACAAACACTCTGTTTTAGCCCAATCGTATGTAAGAAAGCAGCATTGATTTGTTTAGAGAGCGTTCACCTTTCAAGCATCGTGACATTGGCATGATTGCTGTGATTGCCAAACTCTTAAATTAAAGGGTGAATCAAGGTAGTTAACTAATGTCTGGCAGGTACGAAGAAAAACACCAGACAGCTTGGCATCGTTACATTGTATCGACATTTTTTAACGGCGATGGATTAGCGATCACACTCGAAGACAAACATTCCGTGTTTCATAACGTGAATAGTAACAAGAACAAGGAACGAAACATGATTAGAAATATGCCTCTAATTGCATCGTGCAAGTGACAAAATGAGTTGAGTTGACATTTTAAAAAATCGCTGATGGTGGATACAAGGCAAAATGCAGAAAATCACTTGTTTGGCTCTCGAAAAAAATCTCCGCATCACGAGATGCTGTTACGTTTCGTTCGCGAGCTCAAGTACAAATTTATATCAGCGAGATGGTTTAATATACGTGTCTCGAATACATTTCCCAAAAAATAAGTAAACATTTATCTCGTATAAAAATGTCGAATTTCAATAAATTCTATATAGGTTGTCCCAGTGATCTTGACAAAACTAGTAAGATGGTTATTCCACGTAAAAGCAAGCAGAGAAATATACGTGTAATAGCTACATCAATTTTCGATTAGAATTTTTATTTTTCAACGTCACTCCCTTGCCATCTGTACCATAATTACTCGGATATCTAGGATGTATATATTAATAAGGGATTCTAATTGTATCCTATGCATCACGTTACTGGTAAATTGACGCATCACATGCAGAATTGTCGATGTAACATAATCCTCGTGAGTAAGAAACATGGAAGTATGAGAACGAAAAAAAGCGTTGGCAAATTATCATTCCTCATCATATGTTTGTGCGTCACAAAGATTGAATTTCCGAACAGATATACGTTTTACATGTGTATATACAATATATATATTTTTCATGTCATTCATGAAATAAATTATTCGTTACATAAAATAGCCATTCCCCAAATAACCTAGCGCTACATGCTGCGTGGCAAATATGGTTTCGAAAATCTATCTGTTAAAATCGAGGTTAAAACCACGTCATTGTAACTCACGAAGCCGTAAAAAAATCGTCCGCGTACAAAATTATATCATATATTGCACGTTGAATACTTAAAAGTAACTAGAAAAAACTGGTGCACAAGTCGATTGAAATTATGACATCGACGCGAAGAGAAAAAGTGCAAATGCAAAAGACAAAAAGAAAAAGAAAAGGTCGATTATTTTGTCACACGTGTGTCCACTCAAGAAAAGCAAGATAAAGAGATTTTCGACAGAATGAAATTCCGTGAATTCGGTCCAGTTTAAGATTGCTCCGTCTCTTGCGTATTGTTACCGATGACGTAATTACTGCTAACAATAAATTTCAGCGGCCAATTACACATTCTGCGAGACATTGAGCTTCTTTATCTTTCTCTTCTTCGCTCGGTCGCACTCCCGCGTACGTGGAGGTGTAAACGATGTGACAAGCCCAGTTATTTGTTCAAAACCTCTTCTGAAGATAGAAGAAACAATCGGAGAAATTAATGCAGTGATCGAGACTGCAGTTGTCAAGTGGCTACGCGATTGCTGCTATCACGAATAAGCAAAAAGATGAAGTGTAAACTAAAGCGTCTCTCGATTTACCTCCTTTGCAAGGTGTTCTATGAGTTGAATGTTGCGCGCGATAACCGGTGATCATTTCATAGTCGCCTGAGTCGCGTCTCAGAGGGAAGGAGGTTTCGAGGATGTGATCACATTGTTCCATTAGCATCAAGATACCCTTCACCTTTTTCTTTCGCTCCTCCACGCTCATTCTGGAACGCTTGCCGATGTCCTCGACCAGCTTGTCCTCGACGATCTGACAAGCGCGGTGAAAAAAATACTCGACCATGTCGAAGAAGTTTGGATCCGGATCGTCAGGGATATCTTTTAGCCGATCGGGGATCTGATGATCGGCATAACCGCGCGTTTGAAACGCCGGCACGATCCGTATCAGCGTATTATGAATAATATCGTTGGTTGGCGCTTGCTTCAAAGCGATCGACGATCTCGTTAATCTTCTTATGTGAAACATTTTCAGTTTACCTAGTCACTTAGTTGCGATTAAAATTTTGCTGAAGCTTCTCACTATATTTTTCACACGTTTCAGTTTTTCTTGCTTCCTTCCTTTTTTTTTCTCTCTCTCTCTCTATCTATCTATTTATTAATTTTTTTTTTCTTGATATTCTTGTGTTCTCTTCTCGCCTCTGATACTAACGGAGCTCAGTCACTCACCCGACTGTTCGTTAATTTCTTTCCTACCGATCGAACAACTTTATCTTTGCCACCACGTTCACGATACGACTTTACTCTACCACCACCACCGCTCGCCACTCTACGTGCCGAAATGCCAACTGCTCATGGTTGTCATTTGCAGATCTAGGGAAAACATGGCGGTGTATGTGAATACGTAGCAGGCAATAGTAAGGAGAAAAATAAAACCATGGTGGTGTGGTAGACTCGTGGCGATGGTTTGTATTATTAATGACGTAGTTTTGTCTGCTGCATAACATGCATAAGTCGTAGATATATATAAATCCAGGTAACATCATGTGACTTCCCACACTAGGGAATTCTCAATTTCACTCATTACACGATCCTGCCAACATTTACAAAGAAAATTACCCATGTAATTCTGCGGCACTAGTACTGTTTTCAAACGACCAATTGAATGCTAGATCTTCGATTCATCGTACAACGTACAATAGCCATCGATTATATCATTGACGATGCGAGTTTTGCGAATTGTTCGACATGCTTTAATTCGAGACGTGTGGTAACGGAACGATAGTTAAGCGATGATCGACTCAACCTTTTGTTAATCGAAATAGATAAGAGCAGAAAGAACCAAAAAGTGAAGTATCAGATAGTAAACAGTATACATAAACGCTGTGTACCAAAACATGCATTTCTCTTACATATCGTCGAATTTAACGAATAATCAACATCGAGTAAGAAGTGACGCTATTGCTTCGTTTAAAAGTCGGGATGTATATGTTTTTTAAATTTATGACACCTTATTGACAGAAACATCGAAGTTAAATAATGCTTCTTTGCCCTTTATTGGACTCTTATTGTTGGAAACGTTCTTGAAGTATAATCAAAATTTGTCAGCTCTTTTCGTGTATAAGTAAGCTTTATTATTAACATATGCGTTCACAGTGTGCGAATTAACATATAATAATTTTCCGCACATTTACAGGTAAAGCAATAATTATGCTACCAATTGATAATAAGTAATCTTCATGTGTACGTGTGAATGAGTAAGAAGTTGAAATCATGTCAAACGAATCGATTCCTTCAGATTTTGTTGCACAAAATCAGCTCAAAATTACGAAAAAGTTTGGTCGTAAAATTAGCAAGAGGAGAAACAAAGGCAAAATCTCAGATAAACAATCAGTGCCCATCGACGTCGAAGTGGAAGAAGAGAAAGATATCGAAAGTCAAACATCTAAATCTTCCAAGCAAAAAGAGACGTTTCCACAATATGTTTCTGAGAAACAAATTGATAAACTTCTAAAAAATGAAGATTCCAATGGAAGACAATATATAGAAGGCCAATTACGTATTAATCCATGGTGTCATAAATATGCTTATTTGTCATTATCCGACGATCAATATGACTTGTTAATTGTCGGCTTAAAGGATAGAAATCGGGCTTTCGATGGAGATTTTGTTGTAGCATGTATAAATCAACCAGATAAATGGCATATGCATCGAGGACAGAAGCAGAAAACAGGTGTCGTTGTTTATATAAGGGAGAAAGTACATCCGAGAAAAACAGTGGGATGTTTCAAACAACGAGGTGCATTCACATTTTTATATCCCAGAGATCATCGTATACCGTTAGTTAAAATAAGTAAGGAATCATTGGAACAGTTTGATGTATGTCCAAGTAGTTATGAAGATACATTATATTTGGTCGTTATAACTGATTGGGCAAAACCAAAATTTGCAATTGGGTATGATAAAAACTTATAAATCCAAAGAGCTTAGAAACTTTAGTAATTATTAAAATGTCGCATTATTTATAGGAAAATTGAAAAAGTTCTTGGGAACATCGGTGATATAAAGGCAGAATCGAATGCAATATTGCTCGAATGTGATTTAGATGTTACACCTTATGGTCCAGACGTAATGAAAGGGCTTCCAAATAGTGATTATTCTTTAACAGAGAATGATGTAAAAAACAGAGAGGATTGGAGAAGTGAATGCATATTTACTATCGATCCTGACACTGCTGTTGACTTAGATGATTCAGTTTCTTGCAAATCTTTGGAAAATGGCAATTATGAAGTAATTATATAAGATTCTATAAAAATTCCTTCCTGTTTCATTAGTTTCTCTACATATCTTTTCTTTTTTTCCAGATTGGTGTGCATATATCAGATGTCACTCATTACATAGAATTTTTATCTCCATTAGATATTCAGATTTCAAAACGAGCTACAACCATATATATGACAGATAATGTATATCACATGTTGCCAAAACAATTATGTCAAGTATGCTCTTTGTCACCTGGCCAGGATAAACTGGCTTTTTCAGTTATTTGGGAGATGACACAAGATGCGAAAATCGTTAAATATCATTTTGCTAAAACTGTAATCAGATCTTGCTGTCAAATGTCTTATCAGCATGTTCAGAAATTAATCGAAAATCCAGAACATAATTGGCCAGATGACTTTTTAAATATAAATGGAAATTACAAACTTAGCGATTTATCAACAAAAGTAAACATTTTACACAATCTAGCTACTCAAATGCGTAAGCGAAGATTTCAAAATGGCGCGCTACAAATAGATCAACCAAAATTATATGTTAGGGTCGATAAAACTACGGGTTTACCAATATCGTATAATATAGAAGAACGACAGGATAGTAACAGGTATTTGTATTGTATTTGAAGTCACCATTTTCATGATATATTCGTTAAATTATAACACAGACACATACATATACATACATACTTACACGTATGTATATATATGTATACATTGTATTTTAGACTCATAGAAGAGTTTATGTTGCTAGCTAATATGACAGTAGCTACAGAGCTATACAATTTGATTCCGGAGACTGCTTTATTACGCAATCATAGAGAGCCCTCGAAACATGTCCTCAATAGGACGCAAGATACACTGCAAAAATTTGGTATTCATTTAGACGTTAAATCGTCTGCATCTTTACATGCTAGTATAAAACGTTATGAACAAGAATTGGAAACTGAAAATGATGACACAAGAGCAACGATGAAATACAGGATGATGGTTATTAACAATCTTTGTTCCAGAGCTATGACTGTACGAGTTTTTCTTTAGTTTTATTATTGTTTAAAGAACTTGTTAATATATGCATATAAATTTCTCTTTATATTCTTAGCGAGCGACTTACATATGTTCATCTTCAGTAAAAGCAGAGGAGGAATTGAGACATTACGCTTTAAATGTATCACTTTATACACATTTTACTTCTCCAATTAGACGATATTCTGATTGTGTCGTACATCGTTTACTTTATTCGACTCTAGAAAATGTAGAGATGCCTAAAGAATGGACTAAAAAGCTATGTAAATCGTAAGTAATTAAAATACCTATAGCAATTAAAAAATAAATAAAATACCTTCAACATTTTTATATCGTTTCTACTGAAATAGAATAGCAGCAAATTGTAATATAAAAAAATATAGCGCAAAAATAGCTCAAGAACGAAGTAGCGAGTTGTATTTTACATATTTGATAGACTTAAAGGGTCCTATGATTACAATGGGTATTGTATTGGGTGTAAATGAAAATTTTGTAAACGTTATATTGTGTCAACTTGGTACAAAATTAAGGCTTTCCTTCACGCAATTAAAAAATTTAGCAGACGTCGAATATTCTTCGGAATGTTCTGTTCCAACAATAAATATTTTTTGGAAACAACCTCCTGTTACTCAGGTAATATATCAATATTGTACATATTATTTACATAAAACATTATGATGATAACATATGTACTTGATATTTTTCAGGTAATAAATGTTTTTACTTTATTATATTTAAGGGTCGAGAAACATCCTGAATCTTTTCAATTAATTGGTAATTTTTTACCGCCGAATTCCAACTCAGAAATTTTGCTGTAAATTGTTTGAGATTATATTTAAAATCATTATGGAAATATTTTTGTCGCTATATATATCTTTTTGTACACTGTATGTATGCATATATACATATACATTCAATGTAAACTTGAAATGGTACTTTGAGAAGAATAGAAATTTTTTTCTATTCAATGAATGTATTTTGAAAAAAATTGACGAAAAAAATAAATTACATATTTCGCAAGAACATTATTTATTTCAATTATATTTTAATGTACATCGCGTCAACATCTTTACATACTTGTGATCGTACAATTACATTAATTGTTGAACGATTATTACATATACAAATAAATAGCCCTTATGTTTAGCTTCATATCTGTACATAAAGTTATGTATACCATTCGCAAAGCATATATTCTAATGGATACGAAAAAGAGCATGATCGTGGAAATAATCGAGATTTTTCAGAATTTAATTTTCTACTATTTTTTTACGTAATTACACTTACACAATTAAATGGCAAGTCTTGCATGATTAGCTAAAAGAAATTAATAACAAGTTTTTCAAGAAATATGATTTTCTTTATTTCATTCAAGTTAATTGTTTTAAACATTAATTTTTTACAATAAATTATGAACGTACTATTCTGTTACTAACAAGTTCTTAGTTAAAATGTAGATTTACTTTCATAACAGTACGTACTCTGAAATTTATTTCCTTGGGATTTATTAAAGTGTAATGGAACTTTGTACATTGAAATTTTTTAGAGTCGAAAATTAAAATTCGTGATATATTTCAAAAGTTATTTATTTGATTAATAATAAAACGGGAATCTTGGGCTCTACAAAGTAATGTATATTCGTTAACCGCGCAAAATATTCATTTTTTTTTTATATTATATTTTGAACAATATATTTTTTAAATTCAAATCAAAGTCGATCTGCAATATAATGTACCTGTACTAAAACAAAAGAGCGATACATTATGTAAACAGTCTTTTCAATTTATTTTGTATCGCTTACACTAATAAATTATAATACTAAAAATTAAAATATAATTAATATAAGTTAATATTTCTGTTTTTTAGATCAAGTGCAGTAGAGAATGTACATTAAAGAATCTTCGGTTAAATTCTCATTGAGAAAAATTTATGCTAAATACATTAGATTAATGCATGTGATTGTTACTGTTTTGTTTTTCTTTTTTACGATTGAGACTTATTTTGATGTTCATAATTTACAAGTCTTTGACCGACAAGATATTTATCATTCTTTATATGTTCGTAAAGTTTCTTGAACTGTCGAATTTGAAAGTAGATAACAATACATACCAAGTGTACTAATAACAAAAATGGATATAAATGTCTAGCAATAAGAATTTGCGTTTGTAAATTCGTGATTAAAAGTGGAACTATTCCGTAAGCTACAGCGTAGGGAACAGCTAAAGCAAGACCGAAGCAACATATTACCGGTGCTGCTAATTCCGTAACAATGAATTTCAAATCTATTTCCCTAATACCATCGTTGTACGCACGTTCAATTGCAAGACGGATTCTCCAGTCCGGTCCCATCATAATTATAGCGGTCGCTATTTTTGTATATAATACACCCAGGGCCCAATCTTGCCAGATAAACAAAATAGGATTTTGTTCTAGAGGTACACGTAATGGTACTACAACGACTAGTTCAAGAAGAAGACCAAAAAGAAGCGGTATTAGGCCAATAAGTAGAAAAAATGCTACCGATGCTTTAACACCTATGATTGCCCAGTGTTTGATTCTATCTAAAAGAGCTCTTCGACCACGAGGCAACCAAGAAAATGCTAAAGCTAATCCTCTTGCCGCTGCCCAGCACACATACATTCCACAAGCTATAGTGTATAATTCATGTACTCGTCCAGACAAAGCAACTGCAGCTTCGTTAGTATCTGAAACATTAAAAAGAACGATGTAATTAAAAAACGATGTAATTTGTAAAAAAGATGAAAATCTAAGTGTGTTGACAAGGAAGATAAATAAGCATTTTATACATTGAAAAGCGAACTTACCAGACCCACTTAAGGCAGGTGGTAATACTGGTGGAGACGGAGCAGGAGCTCCGACCATCCACAACGCCATTACTCTGCGTCCAAGCCAAACAGGGAGAATCATCGCAATTAAACTAGCAATAACAAGAGAAACGCAAACACAAAACAAAAGACCAACTAGACGAGCAGGAAACCAGCGTGGCCTGATATACGGTTGGAAACCTGTTGGTCCTCCTCTTTGTAAAAGTGCTTGATGCGCTGCTCCTAAATCAGGATGTTGCGGTTCTTCGATTACTGCTGGTCCTGGATCTTCAGTTTGCTCTCTTAAAAGATACGATTGAAGATCTAACATCCAAGCTACCACTCGGCACCATCCTCTTATTAGGGCTTTTAGCCATGTACGTGTGTGAGATTGCTCCAATAATGCAGGAAGAATAACTTGTAGTAATAGCAGTTCTAGTGATAATTCGCTGATCTAATTTAAAAATAAAGAAAACAGGTAAAATGGTACATTGCAATTATTAGTGGGAAAAAATTTTTATTTTCCCTTTTAAATAATTAGCTCCTTACCTGAGCTTCACTTTGAATAGTCACTGTGTATGGTAAAAAGCCTGGCCATGCCCATCTTAAGAGTTTCACAGGTAACCACAGCATTAATAAAATAGCAGTTCCAAATATTACTGCAGATGCTACGAGTCTTCTAACGTGTCTTAAAATTGGAAGATGTATCATTTCTTGGATAGGAGAAAAATCAGGATCATTTAAATTTCTCAAGAACCAAAGTACTCCTGGCCGTAACACTTCTCGTAATAACAAAATGAACGAAGCAAAATAATATATATAAATCATTCCCACCAACCAATGTAAAAACATTGAGGTACCAGGAGCTAGCTTAAACGAAGATTCTCTATCTCGAAGCGTAGCATCGAACATTGCTAATGAACAAATGTCTAACCACCACCCACAGACCAGAGGAAGTACTCCTATCTCAACGACCGAAAGTAGAGAAACCTTTACTATAACGTAACATAAGCCTAATAACCGTTGAGAACGTTGGAAACCTAAAGGTGCCGCTAATGTATGGAGGACAACTAGTCCCACTCCAGTAACACAATAACCACATAATGTAGTTACTAATCCTTCAAAATGCGAAGCAGCGGCATACTCTTGTAGATCTAATAATGCTATTGCAAAACTACCAACGTAGTATGGATAGAAAGCAAAAACCTGAAAATGAAAACGTCACGTTTTAACTGACAACAATCAATTGTTTCACCACGTTTACGATTTAACTATCATACCATGATAAACAGCGTATTTAATGAAACGACCCAAAATACGTGTCCAAGGAAAACGAGGGATCCATCTAAGCCTAAAAGACGCTCCCAAGTTAATTCCTCCGCAGGTCTATCCCATTCTAATGGATTCCAGTTTGCTTCTTCATCTTCTCCTTGAGCCTGACCTTGGGCTTGATCCCTCCATCCCTCGCCAGGTCTTGCATTCGCTTGTTCATCATTTTCATCTCTAGGTGCTGCAGGCTGTTCCACATCTCTAGGTGGAATTACTGGTTCTACATTTCGAGGTACTACTACCTGTGGTTCTAAATCCCTAACAGACTGTTCTACTTGTTGATCAGCGCTTCTGGCAGCAACATGTGGTTCAATATCTCCAATAATTCCTTCAGCTTCATTGATTCTTTGATTATTTGGTAAATTATTTTCTTCTCCCCTATGTCCTTCCACATTTTCTAAATTGTCATTGTTTGAGTTCTCTGGTAAAATCTGTGGTTCATCAACGAAGGGTGGTATATTATTATTATCCTGAATTTCTTGTTGTTGAAGAGCTCTTTGCTCTTGAAACTGTTGCATGGGAACTTCTAAATTGGGCGGTGGATTATCGACTGGAGGCAATTGTACATTATCTCTATCAAGCCAATCAGGACCACCAGCATGTAAAATTTGTTCTCTTAACCATACTAAACCAATAAATGCAAACAGAGTGCAAGTTACTACAAAGCATCCGTGAAATACATCTGATGATATATTTTCAGCAGATAGCATATCCATTGGTAACGACATTATCTGTGAATAAAAAAACACTGCTATTTCACCTTTTGTCATGAGATATTAAAAATTTATGTATACTTTAGAAATATATGAAAGTATTTACTCGAACCAAATCAAGAGGCCCACTGAACAGTGCTCTGTATGTTCGACAAGCTGTCAATGGAACAACTCCTAGCCATGCTATTGCAACTAAAGTGTAGTGTAACCAATATTTTACTGCTGTTACTATGTTGGAAAATAATCCTCCAATAACATCTCTTAATGGTAAACGACGTGGCATATCTGGGCTATAAATTGGTGTAAAAGAAAATCGGTATCCACAAAGTTCGCAGTATTCTTTACGGGAATATCTCATCCATTGCACTAAACATTCCTGATGTATCCATTTAATACTGCCTGTGCAGATACATGGATGAAAGAGAGGCCTGTCTGCAAGACCTTCAGATCTGCAAACTCTGCAGATATCTGCTCCTGACATGTCTTCTGTCATGTTTGGCTTCGTTTAGAGTAACTGATTAAAGCAACGATCAATTTGCTGAAAGAAAAAAAAAAGTTTAAAAAAATATTATTTTAGTCTAAAAATCTACGTGCAAGATCTCTTCCTAAACAAAGAAATAGTACAACGTACAATAGTACAATAGTACAATGATTACAAGATCACGTGTGCAAATTATTGAAATATGACCAAGAAAGGTAAAGAATCGTGAAAATTAACAAAGAGCGGAACATTAAACGGAGAAATGAGAGGGCAAAAATAAAAGACAACATTGAAAATGTTGAATGTGACATCGAATATTTAATATCGAACATACAAAAAAGTTTGCTTTAAGAAGTTCGAAACCGACCTCACAAGTCGGATGATGTTACTTATAATAATATCGTTTACTTACTCGTGCCTTAACAAAGGTGTACAAAATCCAAAATTACTGTGCAAAATATTGAAAATGTCTACTGCTACTTCCAGCACTTTCCTCCTTGCATTGACATAGTTGCAACGTTCACAATGAAAATGTTACTGTCCCTCCCAAACAACACGTATTCTACCATTTTTCTTGATCTGTTATGAATTATACATTTTACTACGTGGAGATTTCATCAAATTACGACATCTAATTTCGTCGGTGCCCGTTGTGCCATACGAAATTTTCTAACAAGAATTGTTAAGTGACGAAGTTTCGTACATTGCTGAACGAAGTTAGCCAAAGTAGTTAAACAATGTAAATGGCGGCAACTAGAAGTTAGTTTGTTAAAAAGTGTAAAGTGAAACGAGTCCTGTTCGGCAATTTTAAAAATGTAGAAATAAGACGACTGCTGTGTTTTTTATTTTAACAAAATGATGTTTCGTTTGATTGTTAAACGTAACATGTAATTTATAACCCTAATTGGAATCGAAGTCAACTGTACATATAGTATTATGTTGTTTGTTACAAAGATATTTGATACTGTAAAGTTAAATTTATACGAATCAAGACAGTGTTATCAACAATTTGTAAGACTCAACAGTTCCGACAGGGTCATGAAAGTTCTCAACGTTGCGGAAAAGAACGATGCCGCGAAAAATATCGCGGGCTATTTGTCTCGTGGCACTTGTAACCGGGTAATTGAAGAAAAGTTATTTTCATTGAAACATATAAAATTTTATATACAAGCAACAGTTTCACTTCACATTGTTTTTTTTCTTTTTAGAGAGAAGGATTGTCAAAATATAATAAAATTTATGAATTTACCTCGTATCTGTGGAATCAAAACTGCGAAATGATCATGACTTCTGTATCAGGTCACTTGCTAAATTATGAATTTACTGGAGCATATCGTAAATGGAATGGTTGTCATCCATTAACTTTGTTCGATGCACCTGTAGTAAAGCACTGTCCAGAACAAAATTTTAAGATCAGGAAGACTTTGGAAAAGGAAGTGAAAAAATGCAATGCATTGATTATTTGGACAGATTGTGATCGTGAAGGAGAGAACATAGGTTTTGAAATTATAGAAGTCTGTCGTGCAATCAAGTCAAATATTCGTATATGCAGGTATCTGTGAAATAAGTTATCCATGTAATTACATTTGATTTCATAGTAATAATGTACATGATGTGTTATTTTTAACAGGGCAAAATTTTCTGAAATTACACAAGTATCTATAAACAGAGCTCTTCAAAATCTATGTGAACCAAATAAAGCAATCAGTGATGCAGTAAATGTAAGGAGTGAATTAGATTTAAGAATAGGTATTTAAAAAATGTGTTTTTTTTAATATCGATACAATGATATCACTGTAACTATGAATGCAAACATAACAGAAACAATATTGTAGGTGCTGCATTTACAAGATTTCAAACAATGAGACTCACACAAGTATTTCCCAGGAGTTTGGCTGATATGTTGATTAGTTATGGTAGTTGTCAGTTTCCTACACTAGGATTTGTAGTTGAAAGATTTTTAGCAGTTGAAAGATTTAAGCCAGAACCGTACTGGAAATTAAAAGTAATGGACATTCGTGATGATATTTCTGTGGAATTTAGATGGGCAAGAGGAAGATTATTTGAAAAATTGCCTTGTGAAGTATTTTTGGATATATGTTTGGAGCAGCCCAAGGCTACTGTTTTAAAAGTATTAAGTAAACCTAAGAGCAAGTGGAGACCATTACCACTTGATACAGTTGTAAGTAATAAAATAGTAGTCTCAATAAGAAAAGATCGAATTTATCTAATTAAATTAAATTAAATACATCTAGGAGTTAGAAAAACAAGGATCTCGTAAACTTCATTTAAGTGCAAAGGAAACTATGAAGACTGCAGAAAAATTATACACTCAGGGTTTAATTAGTTATCCGCGTACAGAAACAAATATATTTCCAAAAGAATTGAATTTAGTTCCATTAGTGAGTGAACAAATAAATAATCCAGCATGGGGCAATTTTGCACAACAGTTGCTAGAGAAGGGACCAAATCCTAGACAAGGCAAGAAAAGTGATCAAGCACATCCTCCAATACACCCAACGAAGTATACTGATAGTTTAAATGGTATGCATGCAAGTTCAATACTTGTCAAATTTAACGAAAAACATTCTGCCGTTAATTTACGATAAATTATTTAACGATAGGCAATGAAGCTAAAGTTTATGAATTCGTGGTTCGACATTTTTTGGCTTGTCTATCGAGTGATGCTGTAGGTCAAGAAACAACGGTAGAGATCGACGTAGCTGGAGAAAAATTTGGTGCTAATGGCCTACAAATTATTGAAAAGAATTATTTAAATGTATACATATATGAAAAATGGAGTAACAAAGAAATTCATATATATCAAGAAGGTCAAATCTTTCAACCTACCAGTATAGATATGGTACAGGAGGAAACATGTCCTCCACGACTGTTGACTGAAGCTGATTTGATCAGTTTGATGGATAAGTACGGCATTGGTACCGATGCTACTCATGCAGAGCATATAGATACAATAAAATCGCGTCAATATGTGGGTTTGACGGATGGGAAATATTTAATACCTGGAAAACTTGGAATTGGATTGGTAATGGGTTACGATAGTATGGGATTTGAAATGTCGAAACCAAACTTAAGAGCCAATTTAGAAAAGGATCTTCAATTGTATGTTGATTCTATACCTCTTTCTTAATAATGAAAGGAACCTTTGAATTTTTGAATTGAATTTTTATTTTATACGTTTGCATATAGGATATGTGATCGGCAAAAGAATCCAAAAGATGTTCTAGAAGCTCAGATAAAAAATTATCGTGATGTATTTAAAATAACGTTGGAACGTGCCAATTTAATCGATAAAGCTTTAGCCGATTATCTCGATGAACGACCCAGTGAAATACAAGAGATACAAATTACTCAAGAAACTGTCGTCTTTAAGTGTCCAAAATGTGGTTCGGATATGACTCTTAAAGATAGAAAGCAAGGCACTGGAAAATATATTGGTTGTATGAATTATCCAACCTGTAATAACGCAATTTGGTTCCCTCTGACGGTTGAATGTGTTGAAATTTCGGATCAAATTTGTTCTGAAGTAAATATTATATGTTGTTACAGTATTTATAATTATAATATGATATATTATGATATATAATTAAAATTATTGGTTTTAGTGTCCAGGAAATATTCGTAAATTAAAATTTAAATTTTTGAGAAATGCTTTTCCTATTTATGGTACTGATTATACAACCTGTATAGGCGGTTGCGATCCTATGTTTAATGAAGCATTAAATATAAAGGATGAAAATATTAAAAGTTTAACTTCGGTAAATGATTCTGGTACATTTGATGGAATTATTGTTCCAAATTCATCTTCAATAAGGAGCAGTGGAACTCGTCCATTTTCAAATACTGAAAATAAGAATTTATCTGGAAGCAACGCATCGATAGGGTTTGTTCGAAATCAGAACAATAATCGTAATAGAGAAGGGTCAAGAAATATTCAACAACAAAATATTTCATGGAATAATACTAATACTTCACCTGATAATTTAAGACTATCTGAAAATGAACAAAGTAAAATATGGGGTAACATTGATGACAATGCCATTATTATGTGTAAATGTCATGAAAATGCGATTCAATTAACAGTAAGGAAAGAAGGACCAAATCATGGTATATACGTGTTAGATGTTTATGAAGGATTTTTGCTTAAATATAGTTTGTCATAACCATTGTTTTATGATGTTTCAGGAAGGTTATTTTACAGATGTGCAAAACCTCAAGGAAGTAATTGTGATTTTTTTCTTTGGGCATCAGATAGTGCACAACAAATGCAAAACAATGTAAATAGAAATTCAAACTCTATGTTAAATGCCAGTACAAGTACTGGATCAAGTGCTCATGGTAATAGCTATCGTGGTGTATCAAATAATGATGTTAAATGTCATTGTAATCAAATTGCCGTACGGTAAGTAAATATTTAATAGAATATCTTTAATATAATTAATATATTTTTCAAACAAATGATCACTTTTATACATTGTAGACGGATTGTACAAAAAGATGGTCCAAACAAAGGACGTCCTTTTTTGACATGTAATAAGAGTATAAATGAATCTTGCAAATTCTTTCAATGGGCAGATGAAGATGATGGAAATACATATAATATGTCTGGGAAAAGAGATACAAGAGCATTTAAAGAAAGAGGAAACGAACAACAGGAAAATTTAAAAAAGAAACGCCGAGTTACTACCGGTAAAAGAAAGTGTGGAATCTGTGGAATTGAAGGTTTGTATTTTATTGTATTTAATCTTTTGATATGGAATGTATTACTCACGTTGAGGCATATGATTTTATTCTTAGGACACACAAGGAAAACTTGTCCCGAGAATGCAATGGATTGAAAGGGAAGTGTACATATATGGTGTTAATAAAATACAAAAGTTCAGTATAGCAATAAAAATATAATTGTCTTTTATGTTTCATGTGATTCTTTTTAAAAGTCACAACGTGTATTAAATTATTATGATCTAAGTATATATGTGTATATACAACAATAAAATTTATAAATATACATGTATATATTGAATATAGATATGTTAATGATTATTAAGAGATTCATAAGATTCTAGTTATATGAACATATTTATATAATTATGTAAGATATGTAAAAGAAAGGATGAATTATGATAATGTACTTTTGTATCAAGATTCTCTATTTTTGTTATATGGTAATTTCTGTTTTAGTTTATCTAATTCTTCCTTCTGCGAATGATATTCTGCTGTTGCTTGTGTCAACTATGAAACAAAACAAAAGAAATGGTAAGTTTTACTTAAAAACAAGATACTGGATTTAATAAAACACATATTTAAAAAAAAAGCAAATTAATAACCATATCGAGAAGTACTTCAAATTTTAATTTTAATAGATTGTTTTCATCCTCTAATCTCTTTACTTCCTTTTTTAATTTCTCATTTTCTTTGTATGTGCTTCCAATTTTTCCAGATTCTGAAAAATAAGTTACGCATGATATTAACAGATTATAAATGTTTTTTCATTAAGAAACTTACCTGGAATCCAGGAACCAGACTCAAAGACAGCTTCTTGATCTCCTAATTTTAAATGTATAGGACCAATAGTGGGTCCGAGTTCTTTCTCTATACGTTTCGGACTAAAATCTTTGTTTGCCAAGAAAACTCCTACTTTTCTCGTAGGAGTCTTCTTAGGGGAGAATTTATTTGAAAACAATGGCATTGCGTATATGTCCAGCGGTACAATTTTCTTACATGCGAAGGTTAAATTTCAAAACATATTTAACATGTATTTAATAACGTGTGAATTCAAATGTTTCAATAATAAAAATATACTTTGTCTTATTGTTTAATTTCGAATTCAGAAAATCTTACTTTCCTAAATATACATTGTATATACAATAGCCTTAACGAAATGTTAATAAAAGATAGCGTATAATATATATTTCGATAATTACAATAATATTATTCTACCTCATTTGACAAAGTAGTAAGATAATGTAATTTTACTATTCATTTTGAAATTTTCGTATATTGGAATGTATATATTCATGGCAAATAATCGGCGTTACCACTGCTCCAAAAATTTTTGTTTACACTGGCCACAGTATTTGCTTGTAAACCATTGCTGAGAGTAAGGTTGACTTCTGAAATTGTATATTCATATATTCTTTTTCCCGTTAAATAACATACAACAATTGTGCTTTTGAAGAAATGATCAGTGCGATTTTACGTAACTCGTCGATTCATTTGAATAGACTGACAGTCAATTAAAGGAGTGTAGCGTCAGTTTTTGTCTATAACCTAAATTGTCCATCATGACTTGGCTAGAAACGATCGCTAGCAACGTTCTTCGTAATATCGTGTTTCAAGATATACCATCGAACACAGTTCAAGAAGTTGAGCCGAAAAATTACAGTAATCGACATATTGAATGTCGCGAGGATGGCATCGTACTTTATGGCCCAGCAGAAAAAAATAAAAAGAAGTTTGAAGTTGTGCTTCACAGGCCTTGTACAGAAACATTGCATCAGGCGTATAGGTTATTCTCACATATTCTTCTTTTTTCCCTGCTAATGCAATACGAAATTTATTAATATTAATTATATAATGTTTTCAGTTTGTATAGATCAGAAGATAGAGCAGATGCTGAAACACATTTTATTGTGTACAAAGACAAGGTTCCGGTACTTGTTCAAATTTGCCGCGAGGTAGTTCTAATGTTTAATAATATTTGTTAATGATATTTACGTAGAAATCACGAGTGTCAATGATTATTATTTTGTTTACACAGATGTGTAGCGTGGGTAAGATACAAAAATTATGCGATACTTTAATGGAACATCCAACATGGACGCTGGCACATTTGGCAGCTCATTTTGCTCTTTACAATGCTTTTGCCCATTCTGATGTAAATAGTCAGTTAAACAGCGGAGATATAGAAACAGGTGTATCACCTTTGCAAGTTGCGGTACAAACAAATAACTTACGCACAGTACAAATGTTGATAGAAGCTAAAAGTTCGTTGGAGCATCTGGATTATGAAGCCAATACTGTCTATCATTATGCAGCCAACTCTACTAAAGAAATAATTTTAGCCCTTGGAGGTGACCTTCCAAATAGTCTAAATAGTCGTAATAATAACGGGCATACACCAATACACGTCGCTTGTTTGAATAATAAGCCCGAGTGCGTCACAGCTCTTCTTTTAATCGGAGCGGATGTGAACATTCCAGCTTCTGAGGGGCAACCTAGTAGCCCTAGTTACGTAGGCGATCTTCTTCACAGTAAACAAAATGCACTCCACGCGGAGGATATGAAATTTGGTGGTACGCCGTTGCATTGGTCACTGAGCAGAGAGGTGATTAATGCTCTAATAGACAGTAATTGTGATATAGATGCTGTAAACTTTGATGGTCGTACAGCGTTGCACATTATGGCATTGAGAAAACGATTGCCGTGCGTAGCGGCATTATTAAGTCACATGTGTTCTGTAAATATCGAAGACAAGGATGGCAATACTCCATTGCATTTGGCAGTTTCCAGTGGCACAGCTGCCATAGTACAAATACTGATAGGTTTTGGCGCGGATGTTGATGCCAGGAATTGGAAGTCAGAAACGCCACGGCATTGCGTGAATGTCGATAGCAACGAGGGCCAGAAAATTCTGTATGTTCTAGATTCGGTGGGCGCTCAACGTTGTCCACGGGTAATGTTAAATTGCCACATAGGCTGCAAGTTTAACGAAACATATAATGGTATCGCACCGCAGCAACCACCGACGGCTGTACCTCGTACGGTATTGGATCAAATGCTGCACGTTTCTGGGATGGATAAGATGGCTATGCAAGAAAACCAGAAAATAAAAGGCGGTCGACTTCTTTGCCTGGATGGAGGAGGGATTCGTGGTTTGGTTCTTATACAGATGTTATTGGAGATTGAGTCGATCTTGGAGAAACCTATCGTAGAGTGCTTCGACTGGATTGCAGGCACATCTACAGGTGGAATTTTAGCTCTTGGCCTAGCGGCTGGCAAATCTCTGCGAGAATGTCAGGGGCTGTACTTCCTCATTAAAGAGGAAGCTTTTATCGGTACACGTCCATATAGCAACGAAGGCTTGGAAAAAGTATTGAAAGATTGTCTAGGTGCTAATACGGTTATGTCGGATATTAAAAAACCCAAAATAATGATTACCGCTGTATTAGCCGATAAAAAGCCTGTCGATCTTTACTTGTTTCGTAATTACGACGCACCTAGTGTATTACTCGAACTTCCAGAGAGCTCTGTCTCCTTGCCGCCGAGCAAACAATTGCTTTGGCATGCGGCAAGAGCAACTGGGGCAGCTCCGTCTTATTTCCGAGCGTTCGGCAAATTTCTCGACGGTGGATTGATAGCAAATAACCCGACTTTGGATGCAATGACTGAAATTCACGAATATAATCTTGCTTTGAAAGCTATTGGACGCGAGCAGGAAGTGATTCCCTTGTCTTTGGTCGTTTCTCTTGGCACTGGCTTGATACCTACTAGTCCATTGAAAGAAATCGATGTATTTCGGCCAGAAAGTTTATGGGACACTGCAAAGTTAGCGATGGGAATGTCGGTCCTCGCGGTATTATTGGTGGATCAAGCAACAGCAAGCGACGGAAGGGTTATCGATCGTGCCAGAAATTGGTGTTCCATGATCGGAGTGCCTTACTATAGATTCAATCCGCAACTATCGCAGGACATCGCTATGGATGAGAAAAGTGACGAAGTATTGGCTGAAATGATATGGACTACTAAAGCGTTCATGCGTGCCAATAGGGACCAAATAAACGAATTAGCTGCTGTGATAAACCGTGATATTTATAACGACTTCTAAGTTGGTGCAGCGTGAGAGTAATATGTATGAGAGTTGCTGATTTCTTTGTGAACATGTGAGGTATGATTGAACTGCATCTATTCAAAAGTATAAATCTTCCTTATTCTTTAGTTTGCTCTACCTTTCAATTACTTTTTCTCCCTCTTCTTCTTATTTCTTCTTCTTATTTCTTCTTATTTCTTTCTTCCTAATTTGCTGCTTCCCTCTACATTTCTTTATGATTGAATCGTTTCTCAATTTTTTTGTACATATTTATTGTTGATAATTTCGACGATTCAGTACTATTTAAAAACTTTTGTATTAAAGCAAACTTATTTATCTGTCACTAAAATCGATGAAGCAGCGCACAATTATTTTTATTTCTAGCTTTTATTTTGAATGAAAAATCTCTCTCTCTATGTCTCTTGCCTCTCTTGCTGTCTCTTATTTTCAAATTTCAATTAATTATATATATATATATATATATATATATATATATATATATATATATATATATATATATATATAAAATATATATATATATATATATATATATATATATATATATATATATATAAATGATTATTTATACGATATGTCTATTATATTTGTACTAAATATATATTCTAATAAAAATACTACAATATTCTACAACTCGTAAAACCCCTATATATATATATATATATATATATATATATATAGAGAGAGAGAGAGAGAGAGAGAGAAGTTCTAATATAAATATATATATAAGGTTCTACGAGTTGTAGAATTTGTATTAGAATTTGTATTTAATAAAAATATAATAGACACATCGTATAAATAATTATTTTAAACATCTAATAAACGTTAAATATGGTCGCGTCGAATATTAATATAATGACAAATGGATGTTTAAATATTTTTGTGATTTCTACGAAAGATGTATATATGTAAATGCATATCTATCTACTTGCAACATCTATAAAATTAATATAATATAATAAATATAGATATAAATATACCAAATTGTATAGTAAATTCGTTCCTATTTCTTCAGAATATCAATGATTGTTACTTTTGATCAATGACGTACCTATATATATTTTCTCATTCTATCATTCGTTATCAATGAGACAAGTGTTTTTTTTTTTTTCATTCAATCGTTCCCTATATGTACTTTCTTTCTTTAAATCACAGAAATAAAAATAATTTCTTCATTAAACGACGCAATTAAAAACCACATTTATCAATATTAACTGCAGTTATTATTTACTGCGCTTTCATTATACTTCTCAAAATATAATATAATATTCGCCGATGCTTCTTCAGAATCGTCGGAAATTTCATTGTAATTCAGTGTAATCACGAAGTCGGTACTAAAATAAAGTTACAGATCATATCGTTTCATAAAAATGTCGTGAAACGAATATTTTTGCCAGCCACTGTACCTTCGTCGGAATAATCCTGTTGAAATAATTTGTTACTCCCACCGGTGGGAGGGGATACGATCTGAATCATCGTGCACGGGAGGATGAATCCGAGGAATTTATCTGCGTACAAGGCGATTAAGATCCGATAGAGAGCGTCACGTCCCGAACGTTCGTCCCGGGGTATGATCCGACGTTTCATTAGCTCCTTAATGCGTCGGGCATCCTGCTCAGGTCGTTGTTACGCTCGGGGAAGGATCAACACTTTTTTTGCCTCGGAACGGCAACGATGCGTCAGGGATATGGCTGTTACGTGCCAGAGTGACTGATGAACCGTCGGCTAATTACATCCTCTATGTGCCCCGTAATATGAACGTATTAATAACCTGCATTTATACATCCGTGAAAAATGACCGCTTATCTCGCCGCGCGAGCACATAAAGGAACATTGTTAGTGGCTGCATCTAGAAACGAGTGCGAGGAAGTCGAGTTGGCCCTCTTCAGAAACGAACAACAACTCCGAAGTGAAAGTTATTTCCAACAGTTTGTTTCTCTTCTCCCTGCCCGAATCTTTTCACAAATTGGATAACATATTATGTTAAATGTCACTTTGAGATGGCGATTAGTTTCTGGTTCGTCATTTGGCTGTCAAACTTCCGAACTTTGATCGATTTGTTTTGTCGTCACTCAAAGTCGCAGTTGTCGGAATATCGTTTAATTGTTGATACGGGTAAATTTCTCGTAACTTGGTCGTTCGATTCGGGGAAGGGCACTTAATAGATCCGAGAGGGACGTTTTCAAAGATCAAAGCGTACCGTGCGAGCGCGAGTGCGCGTTCTACTTTGGCTCCGGCTAAATAAAAAGGCGTAGCTTCGCGTTTTTTTTCTTTTTTTTTTTTTTACAGACGGCTGCGTTTAGAAAGTGACGAGAGATGGAAAGTTGAACGACCACCACCTTGGTCTTAACCGTAATCCCGAAGAGTGACGAGCGTCAAAGCAACGCGGGGATTCTTCAACGACATTACTACCCTCTGTGCCGCCTTCGTTCTCCTTTTCTCCCTTTTAACTCTTCCTTCTTCCTTTGCTTCTTTGCCTTCCGCTTTTAATCGCAATATCTGCCTCTCCTTGTGAAATTGTAAAAAAAGGAAGAATGAAAGAAAGAGGATGAAAAGAAAGGAAGGAGAGAAATTTAGAGTCGAGGATCGAATAGACTGGATACGATCAATGTAATTACATATGATTGAAATCAGTTAGGTGGGACGTAAGTTTGGACGTACGTTATTTGAAATAAAAAATAATGAACGAATTAATGTAAAAAGTAATTAAAGAAATTGAAACAATAATGACAATGATATTATTTCGGAAACTTTATGTAGTTAGTGCGATTCAAATAAATTATTTCCAGATAATTTCTTATTTAAGTTCGGTTCTTACAAATTGGCAATATTGGTGTACAGAGATTAGAAACTATTTGGATTATCTGAATGAAAATATATTCAAACACAAAATAGAGAAAATAAAATGGAAAATTATTTCGTTTCACTCGCCATTTCAAATGACATCTAGGATAATATGTTATCAATTTATTATTGTTTTAAATGTATTATTTGTTAGACTGCGGATTTTTATGCAATTGCAAATTTTTGTAAGTGTTTTGTAAGTGAGTGTTCTCATCTTTGGGTATTTGATATATTTTTATACAGGGTGTCCCTTTGTCAGTTTTATTATTATAGGCAAAAATAAGACTAAAATATCACCTTTATTAATAAGTTATAATATGAAGTGTGACGATCGATGTGGTCAATTTCAACCTATAGATTAATCGAGAAGAATCAATCTCTCGGTCTTCGTGATCATTAAACCTTACGTCTTTTGACAAGGAAAAATTAAATATATAAATAAATCACGAAACAATCAAAACCAAAAAATCAAATATGACAGATGTCTGGAAAAAGAGTTTTCTTTTTTCCATAGTTCAGGAGGGAGCACATTTGAATCATAATAATTTTTATTTGCGATATTGCGATGCGTGAAATTGCGAATTATTAATCAAGTCTGTCAATTAAATTTCGTTCAGACGTCTGAATTCACTAAATACATAAAAGATCATTTTTCAAGCCAAGCGCTCTTGAATACCAATACACAAATGCATAAAAATTCGCCGCCCAATTAAACAAATAAACGCCTGAACGTTTCGTTTATTTAGCAAGACAGAATCGACGAATATGACGTGGCTTGATCGAGCGAGTCGCTCGCCGAGAGATGAGAAAACGTAATCGCGTCGGTACCGGTAGGTAATTCGTGAAACAGTGGATTTCCTTCGAAGCACTTTGGATATATTAAACGATAGCTCGGTTGGCAGGAGAGGTTGGCGCGTCGGTAGTGCCGAACGGTGGAACATAGGGTGTAAAAGATTCACGACAAAGCTCGAGCGGCAAGTTCAAAGCATTCCTAACTCGGTACTCCTGCTTTTGCCTCCTCTCACTCACGAAGCATTACTCTAGTACCGTTCTTCTCCCATCGTTCGTCGAACGTTTCATCGTCGAGCCCACCCATCTCGAATCTCGTTTTCGTCGAGCTTTTACCGATCCGGTCCAATTTGACGGGACTCGAAACGAGAGTAACGATCTCGAACGTCACGCGGGACAACGGCGTCGTAAGTGATGGAACGGATTTTTTTACGGATGTGTTTCGGTGTTTTCGACGTGAATGATTCGAACCGGCTCAGGGAAACGAAATCGAAAAAGATTTTTTCAATCGGGCACAGCTGTCGACTGATGGTTGGAATATGGTTCTCCCGGATATGCGTGTATCGAGCGGCGCGAACGACAGACCGGAAGTAATTAGATCCGCATACAAAAGTCTCTCTCTCCCTCCGCGGAAGGGGAGGTCGAGTTATCGAGCAGCATTTTAGAGGGAATAGTCAAGACGAACCGTTAATCAGCGATCGGGGGTAGATCGTCACGTCCACCAATTTTAACGTGCTTTCATTAACGATCCGATTTCTTTTACTCGGAATTTTTATTCGAAATATATCAGTTTATATCACAGTCGAACGACACACAAAGTGAATAATTATTCTTTCTGCTCTCTTCGGTTTGTTCGTAGCTGGAGTTTGTTATTTTGGTTGTTCTATTAGAAAAAAGTACTAGCTATTTAGCGCACGAGTCAAAATATTTGATAAATTATTGATATTATTGATAATTATTGATTTTAATTATTGATATATTGTTATAAGAAACACATGGAACATGATAGAAAGTATCAGCTATTTATCGTAATGTATCATAACTAGTGGGTATATTTTATTGAAACTCAATCTTATATCCTTAGTTGCTATTTGAATAAAATATTTGAAAAATTATCATTCAAACAATACATCATCTAATTTGACTCGACGTTTTGAGATAATTTTGGGTTAGTTTATTAAGCAAACAATGTTTCTCTCAATAATTCTTTTCAAATAGTTTCTGTAACTCTATTTATATAACATGTTTAATCTACATAATCCCTTTGATTTATTTGAGTATTATTCATTAGGACAAAGTAACTAGCAGTAACTCTGTATTTTATACGAGCAGCTTGGTGTCTTTGATCTTTCTTTTCCGTTCCAGTCACCTCGTTTTCATCTCTCTTCTATCTTCTTCTCTCCTTCGCTCTTCCTTCGTCCGATGTCTCCCGCCCGACATTTCCTCTCGTCTCTCCAACGAGAAACACTGCGAGA